AATTAAAAACTAAGTGAGGCCCACACAAAATTAGGAATTTAATTCTTAGTTTTGGAGGAATTCAATTCTTTGGTGGAATTGGTGTTAGGTGGTATTCTAATTCAGAATTAACCTATTAGGAATTTATCTTTTGTACCCATTATATCCTCACACAATTTTAAAAATTCTAAATTTGTCATATACTTTAACTCAACAACGATAACATTTTAGTAATTAGCACCACTCCTACCTCCATAGGGTTTAGTAAACAACTTCAATAGGAATTCGGAATCTAACTCTGTTGAATCCATATGATTTAGTAAACAACTTTAATAGGAATCCAGAATCTAATTCTCCTCAATTCAATTCCTCATACTAATTCAATTACGGATGAATAAACATGTCATTAGTATAAAGAAGAGGACTTAAACAGCCTTGCATATTAAGCTTCTGCTATAAATAGGTTTCCTCCTACTTTGTAACTTCACATCATCACAGAAGGAAAGAAAAAGAAGGGAATAAATAGAGAGAGAGTGAGATGAGAGAATTGAGAAATAAAGCTATTCATGTAGTCCTATTATTTTACATAGTGGAAAGAGTTATTACTGCCACCCTACCCTAGGGACTCAGGCATACTTGCCGAACCTCGTTAAATATTGTATCTCATTTATTTTATGTGTAGCTTTAAACTTGCATCATTACATTAAAAGACCACTTTTGATGGTGACTTATTATTCTTGTTATGAAATCACTAATAAATGTGGCTATCTATTTAGAGATATTCCTTGTTTAAGGGATCTTTCGGACCATCTATGTAACCCTAAGATGTAACCCGAACTCTATAAATAGAGGTGCTAATGAGAAAAAAGAAACGCAACTATTTCTCTACAATCTCGTTTTTCTTACTTTCATAGCATGTTATCAGCATGACGTCGCTCTTGATATAATCTATTTCTCTAATTTTATCTCACTTGAGCTAGAGTCATCATGTAGTTTAGAGTTTTGTTTTACTCATCCACACGACTTCATGATTCTCTCAATTTTTGTTCTTTCTCTATGATTATATTGTTTGAAATTCCCTTTGATTGCACGTTGCTCCACCTTTGCATCTTTAATATTTGATTTAATACATGAATGAATCATAGCCATTTGATATTCAATTTGACATGCTGCATATGAAATTTTCGTTTTGCATATACTTTAATCAAACACGGCATGGTGGTATAGTATTTTTGCCTTGCGATTGTTTAATACTTGCATATTGTTCATCATTTTTTTGTAATTACTTTATTGGCTAATTATTAAAAAAATCATATCATCATGACATGTATGCAACGTTTATCTCTATGCCATATATATACAAACAATTCCGACTTAATGCTTTAATTTATTTTTGTTGGTTTATATACTTTGTGGATCTATTTTCAAATACTCATAGCCTCATAGTTGGTCAAGAACCAAAGAAACTTGAGTCCTCAACCTATCGAATCTTGAGTTTCGTAGTGCATGCTTGAAAAATGTTCCGTTCTTTGGCTCACTGGTGAAGGAAGTTACCTTTAAGGATGTTGATGCCGACTTCGGCAATGCCAAATTGGTTTCATCCAAATTCAGAAATGCTTGTTTGAAGAGGGTTTCGTTCTCAGAGACACCTACAAAATGTTAAATTTACAGGTTACAGCTGCAGATTCTGAGGGAGCGGTGTTTATTATGCTGATCTTTCTTGTGCGAATTGATGTCGTGCATCCTTAAGAGGATGCAACTTCAGAGGAGCAAACTTGATGCCTCAACCAAGCTGACGCAATCCATAATTTGAGGGAGTGTGTTTGGAAGGAGCGAATTTACAAGAAATGAAAGTAGATGATGCGAACTTCGCTGGTGCTGACATTCGAAAAGCTGATGTGGATGATGTTGGTTGCAAGCTAGAGATTATCTCGGCTAACCCACTAATAACAATCTATCAAAATTACCAACACAATCGATGAGTTTGCAATACTAATTGAAACACTAGTTCCTACTAGATAAAAGTTTAATTATTTACTAATTAAGTTATATTAATTCACTAAATATTCAAATGATATTTCTTCAAGGCTGAGATTTAAAAAAAAACAATAAAGGGAACTTCAAGATATTGGCGGAGAATACACTTCATTAGTGATACATTCAAATCCTAGGTGAGTCCCACAAAGAGAGAGAGAGAGAGAGAGAGAGAGAGAGAGAGAGAGTAAAAAGAAAAGGCTTTTTATCACAAATAGTCCCTGACGTTTGAGAAATTATCACCTTTCGTCCCTAACGTTTTTTTGTGACACTAATGGTCCTTAAGGTTACTCTCTACACATCAAAATGGTCCCTGCCGTTAGCTTCCATCAAATTTTCTGTTAAATTGCTGACGTGGCACGTGTGTGGAGCCCACACATCCAATAGTGTAAAGTCACATGGCTTTAAATAAAATAAAATATATTTTCAATATTTTAAAACTTAAATCCATAAAAAAGAAAAAGAAAAATACCTGCACCCTGCATTCTTACTCTGCCTACGCGCTTCCTCCCTCGCAGACCCACCTTTTGCCTCTCTCTCCCTACTCTTCCTCCTCTTTCTCTCTCTCCCTCTCCCTCTCCCTTTGAAATGGTGGAATCTCTTAGCATCTCGCATGATGAGTTCCCTGCCTACAATTTTTTAAATAATCTTCAATGCATTATGGCAATCACCACAAACACGAAGATTCTTGATTACCCGAATAGATGAACGAGCTGGGCTGCTGAGGAGGGCATAAGCTATCGCAAGTCTCTCACTAAGGGAAGCAAAGCATCTTCCTTGCCTTCCTGATCTATGTCGTGTAACACGAATCTAGTCTCTGGAATGTAACCAGCCTCCTTCATTTGTTCCCTTAAGCCCCTAAGTTGAGCATAAATCTTATCATTCTCAGGATGAGATGTATCTCCTGCTCGATATTCATGGACTCGGCTCCTGACTTCTAAAAGATTTTGGGCTGCTAATTTTTTTCTTCTCTTTCTCCTTTACAAGGTCCGAATCTTTTGCAGGAACAAGGCCAGCCTTTGATTGCTCATTTAAGTTTTAAAATGAGAATGCAGGGTGCAGGTATTTTTCTTTTTCTTTTTTTATGGATTTAAGTCTTAAAATATTTAAAATATATTTTATTTTATTTAAAGCCATGTGGCTTTATACTATTGAATGTGTGGGCACCACACACGTGCCACATCAACAACTTAACAGAAAATTTGACGGAAGCTAACGGCAGGGACCATTTTGATGTGTAGAGGGTAACCTTAAGGACCATTAGTGTCACAAAAAAACGTTAGGGACGAAAGGTAATAATTTCGCAAACGTCAGGGACCATTTGTGATAAAAAGCCAAAAGAAAAAGAGAGAAAGATTCATCTAAATGATGAAGTTCTAGCCTTTCTTAGTTAATATAAAATTATTATATGTATTTATTTTAAAAATTAATTATATTATATTGCGGTTTGCCGTGCTTTCGTGATAAGTCGGTTTAGATATGGTAAAACCTAGGTCGGTATTTGCAGTTTTGCGATCTAAAATGCCAGCCCTAACATTTACTATATGGGATTGTAATCAAAATTGTAATATTTCTGTGAAAATTGTCCTCATATAGTATGTGAAGCTTATGTAGGGTTTATGGAGTCTTGTACTACTGCACCTTCACACACAACATAACGCTCACGCAAATAAACTTCTCAAAGGCAACAAGGTGCACTATGCATGCAGTTATGCAGTTATTGCTCCAATCAAATTTTAAAAAATACGCCCAAATATATTGAATAAGAAATTTTTTAAAGACTATGCATTTTGCTCATGCGCAACCGTTAAATTTGAAATGAGAGCCGAGGGATTTCCTCATTGGAAGTCGTTCAAATCCTCCCTCTCCCATTTTGATCTTTGATTTTCGTTTGGCTTTGATGCAAGTTTTTGTGACTCAGTTCAGTATTGGGTACTACTTTGACTTTGCATCCTTTCTATTTCTCTATTGTATGTTGTGTTGCTCTTTTCTATGGTTGGGTTGTAGTTCTGACCTGTTTACAATTGGGTGTCAAAGATTATATGATTGCTTTTTTCCCTCTCTTTCGTCAAGTTTTCAATTTCTATAACGACAAAATCTCATGTCAAATTAAATTGAAAACCTAACGAAGGAGAAAGAAAAAAAAGAAAAAAAAGGCAAAGGCAATCAAAAGGTATAACCTTTTAACACCCAATTGCAATCACAGGCTACATCCCAACCCTAAAAAAGGGCCACACATACCCATTATTGAACTAGGCGGATAAACTTGGGGGTTTGATCTTTGGTGCTCTATTTAAATATTTGTTCTCAATTATGCAACATCTTTGGTTTTTTAGTGCAAAGCTTTTCGGTGTCCATTATTTTTGAATTTTACTTTTCAATATTGTAATATTGCAACTGATCCATGATCGATTATCCCACACTCGCCTTTAATATTAGCTTTAATTTTCATTTTTGCTTTTAATTATGATCCATAGCTTTGATTTGATTGTGCACTAAGTAACTTTCAACTTGATGGAACTCACTCACTTTAGGTGTTCCAAAGACTTCATAATGGAAATTCTGTGGCCTCAAATCTTGTTGCGTTGAAACGAAATAATCAAATCATTATTGCATCCACCAGTTCAGGAGCAGCCTTTCACATCAGCGTGTACAGAAAGCTCATAAAAATAAACAATAAATAATGAAAACTAGACTAAAATAGCATGCACAGGTTCATGACAATTACTGCACATCTAAACTAACTTCTTTCTTAGGAGTTGGTCGGAGAAGACAATACAACAAGAAAATACGTGTCAACTTCCCATAATGATTGGAAGACAAGGTCACTTATCCCCACAACTGACAGAAAAAATTAAACAAACAAATAAATGAACGAATCAAGAGCTAACTGGATGATAACCAACATTACCATATATATATATAAATATATGTAGAAACTTAAATATTTCTTTCCTCAAAAGATCATAAAAACAAAAGGGGAAATTCTACATCTGTGGTCCAAGAGGAAGCCTACTCATTAGCTGTTGGTATACTGATGAACCATTGGACATGTTTAGACCAGATTCTGACATAGGCTCCACTTTTGGTTCTCCTTTTGGTAACATGAAGCCCATTTCATTGACCTGGCGCTGTTGTGCAAAGTATGGATGATGAACAGGCATAACAGGGAGTTTGGGTTGGCCTGGACCCAACCCAGCCATTGCCAGATTGGCCAGCCCGGGTTGGTTCATTCCGAAAGAGAAGCCATGGGATGGCCCCAGCTGCTGCCTTCCAGGTAGGCTGAATGAACCCAGTGATGAAGGCCTTTCAAATCTTGCCATGCTGTTGTGAACTTGTGATGGCTCTGGTCTATGCGGATGGGTTTGAATGCCAGCAGAGGAAGCTTGGCCAGACATGGTGTTGGACGGGCCAGAGTTGACATGGCTGCTATTTCGAGCAGCAGGAACATCATGATTGTGCTTTCCCTCATATGTGGTGATCACTGACTTAAGGTCATGGGATGCTCTTTCCACATGCTTCCTCACTGTGCAGCCAGCATTGGTGCACTTGTAGTAACTCCTGCAGAAAAAAAGAATTCTGTTTCATCCTCGTACAAATTAAGAAAGAACAAATCAAGAAAGAAAAAAATTAATCGTCATAACGAGTAATAACCTTGGATTTGGATTGCCTTTCACAACCTTCTGCCCATACTTGCGCCAACGATATCCATCATCAAGGATATCTACTTCACTGGTTGTCTGGACCACGACTCTAGGCTCACGAATGGCTCTGGTAGCTCCACTCATTTCTGTTGCATAGGCTTCAATTTTCCTGAAACATCATAAGTGTAAAGACACTTTTATGGTGACCCCAATGTCTAATACTCGAGATTGTTCACCAAAAGATAGAAAGAGGTGAGCAGTAACCTTCTTTTCGACTCTGATTCATCTCCTTCACCATCATAAGCCAATGAAACACTGCCATGTGTCCCTCGATCATCTTCATCTTCATCATTAGAAAAGGTAGATGACGCGTCCACCACATCACCTGATTCAAGGTGCGTACCATTCTGAGCCTGCATAGAAGAGGATTGGTTGCAGTAGTCAGGGCCCACAGATGCTGATGAAGTCACCTCAAGGTTTTCATGCTTCCAATCAGGAGCTCCAACATTTGCCTTTTGTGTACTTGCCCAAACTAAATCACCATCAGCACCACTCTGTGGTCCACCTTGTTCAGGGATGTCTGGTCGCATGTCATTAAGTGGGTTAGATGATCCAATGGCGGCTGATCGACGATTGGGAGGAGGTTTAGGGTGGTTATGGGCCCCTTTGTAGATGATCTCTGTTATATGACCCTCATGAGATCGTTCAACCTTTTTCTTAACCTGACAATTTGGATGCGTGCACTTGTAATAACTTCGTGGATACTCACTACCTTTTACTTGTTTCTGTCCATATTTTCTCCAATTATATACATCTTCGGATGGTGTACCACCAGCAGCAGCAGCCATGGAATCTCCACTACCTCTTTGATCTCCTTCTTCATCTGGTTGCTCATCAAGGGGTGGAGAATGCTCAGTACTGCCACCAACAGTATCAAAAGCCCTTGGATCTGCTGAGTTAGCTCCATTATCTTTTTCAGTAGATGTGCGAGAGAAGTCTGCCTGGAGCTGAAGATTGTTTGTATTCTGGTTTTGAACTTTGGTTGGTTCTATACTTTGAGAAGAATTTTCTGACTGGACTGACACCTCGATGTTGGGAAAAGATTGCTGTGGAAAACCAGTTGAACCCATCTGTATACAGGAGATAAAATTACTCATGAACTCATGAGAGATATTATGACATAATGCATTTTTGTTTGCAGCGGGAGTATACTAGGACTCTCCTCTTAAGTACTGACCAGTGGTTATCTAAATTTCACTAAAAAAAATACAATAGAACTAGCATGTGCGAATACTTGTGTGTTCTAAAATGAGGAAAAATCGAGGGTGAAATTACTTTGCTAGTTGGACCAAGAAAGAAGGAGCCTGATTCTGCAATAGGCTTGAAAGCGAATGAAGTATTTATGTCCTCAAAGAAATTAGTTTTATCAGGGCCCTCTGTCATTAATGTGGAACTCCTGCTATGACCATTTGTGACAAATGGAAATTTTCCAGTTGTTGGAGATGGCTGTGCCTGCAAGACATCCAGAAGAAAAGTTTTAACATATGGCAGGACAAATGTCAGCGAGACTAAACATACTTTTAAATTTCATCACAAGTGGAAGCAAATTTTAACTTAAAGCAGGGATACTAAACAAACTATCTCTATAATAATTTACATCTACATGCCCTATTTCAAAGGAAAGCAATCCCAAGTCAAATAACTTCATATGATGTATTACAAGAATATGAATTTCAATTTCCTGAAGGTACTCAAATCATACCAAGATGAAAGGCATGTATAGAACCAGTTAACAGCTCATCCCTGTACACAAGATACAGATATCTGCAATTTTGCATTCAGGTTAATCATAAACTATTTTAAAGTTCAAAACTCTGCCAAAATATGCAAAAACCGATTATCTTGGTTTTACAACATTTTGTCCATGTTCCTACCATTGCATGAACAAAAAATATTTCACCAACGCCATATGCACGCCTTGAACTTGATGAGATCAATTTTCCGTTTTGGTCCATTAGAGGTAAATAACCCTATACCAACATACAAACCCTCAGCCCCAGTTAAGGCAATATCTGATCCCAGGACTTTACCTAAACTAGCTAGCACCTTCCATGAAATCAAATTTTTACTATATACTAACAACAGAATAAAAGTAAAAATTAACAAAGAAGCAAAAATATAAGGAAAAGAAATTATATTTAAGCACTACAGATATTTTCAAAGTTGCAATCTTACCAATGAATTTGAAAGGAAAACAGGAGAGTCTAGCAGTATGGTTGGACTGAGACCAGGAGGTATTGTCAGATAAGGGGACCGAATGTCGGAATTAAGTGAAAGGTCAGAAGATCTAATGCTTTCTGTATTCAGCCGCGGAGCATTAAACCCAGCTCTGGCTGCAATCCTTTCCACAAGCCCTCCTCGTGAGTTTGACTTGTACTCCGAAAATGAACCCACTTCATTTAGTTCCTCACCAGAAGCATTGCCTTGTGACAAATTTTTTCCATTGGTATCTCCTTCTTGAGACCCCAAAAAGAACTCCGCAGTTTTATTACTGCTGGGAGGTTCCAACATTGATCTTGAGCCTATGTCATCAACTAACATTGAAGAGAAGAAGGCTCTTGGGCTTGTACTTGGAGGCACCCAATCTCCAATTATAGCAACGTTATCATCGATGCCAGCCATGAAACTTATACCAGTTTACTGCTATCAGCACAAAATATGGATCACTTGCAATGAAGGCGTTGCTCCAAGATCCAACTCCTGAAAGCTTTGCAATGAATGAAAAACAAAGGAAATCCATTTCAGAGCCACGTAATATTTAAATACCAGAAAAACAAGTTTGTAACTAAAATAAATAAATATGCCAGAAAATCACATTGTGACTTGAGTTTTATTAGCTTCCAGAGAAACATCACAGGAAAAAGGAAAAAGAAAAAACCCTTCGGATTTTAGCTTTTCAGTTATATAACCATCCGGTTTGGTTAAAATAAAGCATCATTTTTTTGGGGTGGCGGATAGGGACCGTGGAAGAAATCTAACAACCTGAAAACACAAAATCAAAACAGCAAAGCAAACACAAAACCATTTTTGGGTTGTCATTCTGAGGAGCAAAATCAGGAAACGATGTATGAAGTTGCCCTCACGGTCTTCATATGAATTAAGATGCCATCCCAATTTTCATAGGAATAGTAATTATTAGGAAACATTAACACAACATTTTTTCTCTCTCATGGATGATTTTTCAAAAAAAGGAAAGAAATTTAAGCCAACACCTTAAATCACATCCATAATTGGTAAATAAATGAGATTAATAAGGCAAGGCCACTCATAAACTTCCAATCCGGAGTGCAGGTTCACCTTGTAACGGGACAAACGTTACAAACATACATTTCAATTTGAAGAATTATAACCTTGTAAATGATTTGACATGATAGACCCAATTTGCTAGATCCTGACATCCATGAAGATCTAAGCATGAGAAAACTGAAAACTAAACAGCTTCCCCCAACCCAGAGAAAAAGGAAAAAGGTTATGAATTTTTGCAATATTCAATGAAGGAAAACAAACCCATGTTACAGAATTCAGAGAAGGGTGTGTATGGGGTCACAATTATTATCATTACTCTTGTTGAAAGAGAATATAAAAAGTGAGGCACCTTGAGTTTGCAGAGAAGGCATTGATGTCAGAGATACATAAGAGTTTCTCAAAATTGAGAGACAAAACACAGAAAGAGTAATAAAAGCAAATTGAATGTGGAAAGAGAGAGAGAGAGAGAGAGATGAATTGAAATAGAGGGTAAGGATTAGAAGAGACAGAATAAAAATGATTAAAGATGATTACCTGAGTGATTAAGAGTCAAGGCCCAGATGATGTTGAAGGAGACCAAAGACCAAAAACTCCTCCTTTGACCACCACCACTACCCACTACCTCCCAACCACCCCTACCCCTCCAAACCCAAATTCACTATTCTGTCAAATTTCCTTTCTCTCTGTTCAATTCAGATGAAACCCAGAAAGGGAGGCAATTGGAAGCATAAAAAAAAACACCTCCTTCCTTATCAAATTCCTCAAAGTTTCTCTCTTTATCTCCCCTTGGTAGAGCCCAAAATTGATATTGATATTGATATGATGATGTTCTTTGACAAAATTACAAAAAGCAAATCAATACTTTATTGTTGTTATTTTTTACATTATAAAAATAAGGGGAAAAGGAAAAAAGAAGGAGAAAGGAGAGGGGTGAAGTTGCAATGGTGGTGGACCGGAAATGGATGGAATCTTTGAAGAAAGAGAAAGAAAACAACAACAAAAAAAAGTAACACCACAATCAACAGACAGAAAGAAAAAGAGCTCAAAATCAAAGCTTTACATTACATTTCACCCATTCTCATATTTCTCCATTTAGTATTACTTGTCTGTTAGAGACCGAATTAGACTGCTCATTATTCTCATTTTTGTACTGGGCTTCTGAAGGACCTATTTCTCTCTCCTTCCTTCAGCCAATCATAGCTTGCCATCTGGTCCTTGTCCATGACATGCAAGGGCATTGTAGTCCATATCAAAATTCATGATTAGTTCATGATGGAACAGTAGGGTGAGAGTTGGTGGTAGGTGATTGCACCCTGGTTGTAATAATTGGTTTTTTATTCTTTTTTTTATATTTATTTTTTGAAAATGAAATGAATATTATAAATATGTGTAACGCTGAGGTGGCCAGGGTGTTTAGCTGCCTAACACCTGTTTCTGTATCCTTCAAATGTGAAGGATGTTGTAACTGCCTTGTTGCTGCTATTGGCACATCCATTGCAAGATTTACACTTCAACTTTTTTCGTATTAATTTTTGCTTTTATTACTATTATGAATAAATTATCATTACCTACCAATTTTAGCTTCAATCATAAAACAAAAGGCAAAAAATATAACTACTATTACATCTTGAAAATATGTAAGTACTTTCACTTTTTATCCAGTCACTCGAATAACATAAAATTATCGGACTGTGAATTTAAACATATATTCATACATAAACAAGATCAAAAGAGATTGAGATATTCTCTTCAATCTAAACAGAACACTCAGGTTGATTGGACTCAATATGGTTAAGACAAATGAGATTGAGATATTCATACATAAATGGAATCAAATGAGATTGAGATATTCGAGCAATATGGTTGTGAACTTCTTAGGAAGAGGACAATTGGTTAAGACACTATTTGCATAGGGATGGTCGGAGCTATCAAGGATGAAAAAATTGTAATCACATTTGACCCAACCTGATCGAAGTGCCATCTAGTAAGATTTTAGACACATAATCAACAACCTATGAATGAAACAAAGGCCTATAAGTTAACTTATTACATAGAATGTTCAGGCCAAAAGGATAAAATTAGATTATAAGTTTTTTTATTAATGATTTTAAATATACTCTTTCCCCCCTCTCTCCTTATATGAAAAAAAAACTTTCTTATAACGGGAATAACATTGTTTTGCTATCCCCAACCAATAACACAATGACACGTGAAAAAACTATCTTACGTGTTATTATGTTATTAGTCGGGAATAGCAAAAAGTACTATATCTCGTTGCATGAGAGTTTCTCTTCCCCTATACACATGGTTACGCAATACATCCACTAAAAAATTTTAAAAACCATATTTTTTTAATCTATATGCTTTTACAATCCCAACAATAACTTTGTTGTGAACCACGGAGAAACAATAAAAAATAGTTGGCCTTAGAATGAAGAATAATCTGGCAATAAAATTTTCATTAATTGATGAATTTGAGGGGAAAGAAAAAGAATGTGTAAGCATGAGAGATAGTGGAGAAAAGGTTAGGGGCTATGATAGATTATGAGTTTGATTCTATCTAAAGGACTAACAACAAAAAATAATGATTGGTTGATAACTAGCTATAGTTGCTAAATTGATTCTGTTGCTTGTTGTGCTAATATAGAATAATATTATATTAGGAGGAGGATCCAATTCTCTAATCTAATCTGAGTCAGACCATGCAATGTGTTTTACAACTTAGAGTAAGGTCTGGTTTTGAATTGTCCACTTTGCTCAAAGTTATTCCAATCACAATATAGTTTAATTATGCCTCTAACACTGTGTACCTTCCTCAAGGAATTGAAATGGCAGCACAACAACAGTAGTCCCTAAAGACTAAAGTAGCTATGTTTGTTGGTGTTTTTTTTTCCTTCTTAAATATAAGGGATAGTTTAAATTACAAGGAGGATGTCGTTTTTCACGCAAAAACTCACTATCAAAGTGCTATCAAAGTTTGAATTTAAAACCACTAGTCTTTTTCTATGTTGTTGGTGTTTTTTACCCTATGAATTAATGTTAGTGGATCATAAACAAAACAATAGCATCAACTGTGGAGCGTAGTGATAGAAGATAATAATGACTAATGAGTGGTTTAAAAGACTAATGGGGAATTACAAATAGAAAATGACCAAAAGTCTAATAAAACAACAAAAGTAACAAATAGATACCCTTCAATTCATAAAAGCACATCCATCTTAAGACGACTAAGTAAATTCATCAATTCGTGATTCGTCTTAAAATCTATGTTAATCAACAATTAACAGAGATTTACACAAATGACAAGTGAGAGAATTTTGAACCATCTAGATTTTGGATTAGGGTAACATTAAATTAAGAAGAAAAAGAAAAAGATTAGTGACAAGTCAGTGTGAGAAAACCAGAAAGGGGATTGAGCCAAAAACTGGCACCAGAGGTCCATGAAGAGAGAAGGATAGTTTTGTTTGGATGTGGTGAGCAAATGCCAAATGGAAGGATGAGAATTGACACCAAAATTTAACCTCCAACAAGGCAGCACTGCCAACACAACACGGAAACCATGTAACGAGTCCATATCCATCAAACCGTACCAAAAAAATTATATCAATTTTTATTCACAGCTAACAGACAGTACCTTGTCTTCCTTCATGTGACACATTGAATAAAAACAATATAAAACTTAAAAGGACGTGTCCCTATTTTCCCATTCCGACTCAGTCAAAAAGATGCTTTGACCGAGTCTTTTTCCATTGCATTTCTCTCCCTCGTCACACTGCGGTTACCAATGTTTTTTTTGTTCTTCTTTTTTTTTAAAATCAAAACCAAATTCTCCAGTCCTCCCATGTGGGTTCACTTCAGCCTTCAATCAATCAATCTTCATCTGTTTGCATACAATTACGCTGTGAATTATGCTATGGGTCCCACAACTCACAATCCCCACAGTCATTTGTGCATTCGTAAACGGCTTAATCTAGTATTTCTCATAGCATATACATAATTTAATTTTCATGATATTTAGTTATAAGTATCTCGTTATCTCTCAACTTTCAAATCAAAGACATACCACAAAAAAAATTTCACTTTCGGAAAAAGCCAAAAAAAACTTTCACTTTTGGAAAAAATCAAAATTTTTCCGAAAAAGACAGAAAAATCCCTCAACTTTCAAACCAAATACATGCAAATGTAAAGGATTTCTTAAAAAATCCAAAAATAAATAAGGGTATTTTTGTCTATTTTGACCTCTTTTAAAAATATTTCTTTCTCCTTTAGCCTTTTCCATAATGTCCCTTAGTTATATGAGGTAGGTTGGATGGTGAATGCACAAATTTATGAACGCAATAGGTTGCAAGTTAATCAACTGAGAGACGTATTTAGAAAAGTCCTATTTAATAATTAGATTGATGTTAAAGTTTAGAATTCCCTAAAGTGGTTACGTGGGTCTCATGGAGTGGCTTGGCTTGCTTGCTTTCGAGTGGAAAAAATTGCAAGAAGACAAGAGTCACAAAGAAAGAGTTGCATTACAAAACAAATGGGGTAAAATCTTAGATAACAAACTCGAGTAAGAAGCTCAGTCGGGCAGAGCTTCTTATTGAGAGAAAACCTGTCTTTATGTCAGTCTGTGTGCCCACCAGTCAATCAAAGGAGGGGACCTCTATATGGATTTTTGACTTCATGACATGAGTTCCTCCTACCTATAGCTCTGGGCTGCTACATCGTAATCTCTTGCAACTTGCAATGTCCAGCTTTGTTTTCCCAGACAACTATGACCTGGGCCTGAGGCTTATGGCCCCCAAGTTCTTGGTTTGGATTTTGCCACTGGCTCTTATGGCTCTCTTTCACTTTCTTTGGAGAAGGCCCATCGGAGGCCCAAGGGAAAGAGAGAGGTTCGAACGCCCGTCCTAGACATGAGATAAATGCTCTCAACCACTGGAGATATAAGCTCTCGTATAGCGGTGATTTAGGACTATAAAGCTCTTGAAGATGAAGGATGAAGTATACACAATAAGGACTAGTATATACAATGGGGTTGATATAAGTCAAGAGTCAAATGAGAGCATGAGGCAGTAACCAGAATTTGCACAAATTTGACTAGAGAGACCTATAAGCACATGATTAGAATAATCACCATTTATATATTTGTTAAGGAGAAACCAAAACAAAAACAAAAGGAGTTGAAATAAATTAAGACATTTATTTATGAGCAGTACCGACAAGAAAATCTGCACATAATCCTCATAGAAAATCCATCATGCCGAAAGAAAATGCAGATATTGTGGAGGGATTATGGTTAGAGGCTGGCTTAGAGCTAATTAGATTCCCATAAGTAAAGCTCCATAAAGTAATCTAAACAGAGTCCTAAGATGTGAGATTTTGACTAATATATGATTTGTATTCATTCATAATCCCAACAGAGAAAACAAATCCACATGTTTTGTCATCATCACCAAAGACAAATTTACTGCTAAAACTTCAAAACCCTGAGCTTTAGGTGCCCACTGATTCCTGCTGACTATATTTGACCTACATCAATAATGGTCAGCTTTAAACTATTTAGTTCAAACCAATTTCAAATCCAAACATCTCAGTCTGATAATCTCATCCTCTTGTGTTTAAGATTGGAGCAAATTTTGAAGGAGCAAAGAATGTTAGATGGAATTGAGAAGATTCAACTCTCTCTCTCTCTCTCTCTCTCTCTCTCTCTCTCTCTCTCTCTCCTTGTGTTGGATGTAAATTACTAGCAACAGAAATGAAGTAGACCTTGGAATCTCATCTTCAACTGTTTAGCTCTCATATGAAACATAGCACCTAACTTTTCGGGGCTGATCACCTATTAAACTTCCACACAATAATACAGCTTTCATATTTCATGCCTTAATTCAGTCTGCCCACTTGCTCAACTAACATTTTTCTGCTGCGACCACCATGCAGTAGCCAGGGAAGTCTTCTCATACGAAAACGCAACAAGGTGTAATGCGTGATATTGGCTTAGGATATTGTCATCTAGCATTCAGGTGCATGGAAGTTTCTGAGTCCTTGCACCTCAACAGCTAAACTGTAACATATGGCACCAACAAGGATATGGTATTAACAAGCATGTCAAACCAATTGATTTTTTAAACAGACAAGTACTCTTCTTTTTTTTCTTTTTTCTTTTCTCAATCAAATGGAAACTTCGTTAGATAAATTTCAACGGTACAATCAAAGACATCAACAAGACATCTAAAATCCCAAGAGGGCAACAAACTAACATACTAAAAGCAAAACTAACGTGGACAAAAGTCGCACTAAAACTACTAACTCATATAACCACAATTAATCATAAACCCAAACAAAGCCTACAAACCCAATATAACAAAAACCCTAAAACAATCCATGAGCCTAGACGGACCTTATCACCACCACCTGAAGAAGCACTGTCACGGCCACACCCACCAATGCATCCGTAACAGATCTGGGAAAAATATGATTTCTAGCGATCTACCTACGCATAAGAGCTAACAAATAAATGAAAACAACAATTTTGCTAAAGAACAATTGGATGATTTGCAGCAACCTTCGTCAAAGATGATGTAGAATCAAATTTAGAGAACATGAGCGACATTAAGGAGCGGGTTTTGGAAGCGGGATTTGATTAAGAACATAGACTAAAAGGGGTGATGGGGAACTTTAATCTAACCATGGCTAAGAAGAAACCACCACAAGGGTTTTTTATTCAAAATGCCCAAGTTGACTTATTCACTAGCCTAAAAGGAAAAGGACGAGAAGAGAAGAGGGGGAGGAGAGGCAGTGACGCTTCTTCTTCCTCCCCCCCTCTATGAAATTTTCCTTTAGGACTCACAGAGGGAGAGAGCAGCTAGGGTTTCTTGAGAATGTTGGTTAACCACAAACGGACAAGCACTCTTGGTAACTGGAATATGGTATTTTTTTCGGAGTTGGTTTAAACGATACCACAAAGGCAAAAGATGACAGATTTACAAGTAGAAATACAGCTGTCTTACCCTGAAACTCCTTTAAAATGCTCGTTCACACAGATTCACTGCTTGTTATATACCGGCCAGAATCACGCAGAAGTTGTAAGCTTGCCGCATTAGCTTGTTTCATGTACAGACATTTTAGCTTAATACGTGAGATCGTTCTAAAGACCCCATGAGAAATAGGTTCAAGCTGATGGGGGAAGTTCAGCAATTAGAGGGTGGAGCTTACAAAGGTGACACTTAGATAATGTATGAATTTATGGCTCAAATCCTTCAAACAATCACAGAAAGCTATTTAGCAAATTGCAAATGATTTCAATTACTCGAGACTGCTATTGCTACAACTTTACAAAACGCTGTTCCCACATATCAGTTTTCTATGAACAGAAACCAATTGTGATGGATGGACAATGGTAAAACAGTAGTTAGCAAAACTGTGAGAGGAACATAACCCAAATAGAAAGAAACAAAGTTTTTTTGAAGCCTTGGTTATAGACATCATTTTCCAAATGAACGAATACACACTTTACCAGATTTGAGCTACCAAAGACTCCATTTACTCTGTTCTCCCTATGCATTTCTTCTACCTCTCTCTTTGATTCACGGTTCTATTATATACAGCCCGCATAATGTGAAGGATCGATCGAATCCCTGTTTTCGATCTCAGAAACTTCGTTAATTGAAACCACAACCGGATAGCCGTAGCTTTCTAGTTTACTTGGTCTTTTATGGTTCCTCAACAACAGTCTCTTTCAGCGAAAAGCCATCGAGGACATCGTTCTCTGAATCAACCTGAAGCTCTTTAAACATAGCCATAACCTGAATCATGGTTGGCCTGCGGAATGGCCTGTCATCTAGGCACTCAAAGGCAATCCTCAGATACTGGTATAGTTCAGCCTCACCGGATACCTCTGGCAACAACCCAGTGTCCAGTATCTCATTACATCTCTTATCCCTCTGAAGCTGCTTTGCCCATCCAACCAGGTTGTTGTCATCACCAAACACTGACGGGTCGATAGGTCTTTTCCCAGAGAGAAGCTCTAGGAGTATAACACCATAACTGTAGACATCCCCTTTTGCGGTGCATCTAAAACTCTGGTAGTACTCAGGGGGGACATAACCTGGAGTACCTGCAAGGGTGCTCACACTAAGATGAGTATCGAGGGCATTCACCAATCTTGCCATGCCGAAATCAGATACTCTGGCCTCAAAATTTTCATCTAGAAGAACATTGCTAGACTTCATGTCCCGGTGGATGATATGAGGTATGCAACTATGGTGAAGGAATGCTAGACCTCTAGCAGAGCCTATGGCAATCTTCTTTCGTGCTGCCCAATCCAGCCTAGAGGCCCCTCCCTTAGACTTATCATGAAGAACAGCCTCCAGACTTCCCCATTTCATGTACTCATACACAAGAAGTCTCTCCTCCCCAATCTTGCAGTACCCCAACAACGGAACCAGGTTTCGGTGCTTGATTTTCCCAATAGTTTCCATTTCTGCCATAAACTCCCTGTCTCCTTGACCTGTGACATGAATAAGCTTCTTAATTGCAACAACACAGCCATCTCCCAGTTGTGCCTTGTAAACCTCACCAAACCCTCCAGTACCTATCAGGCTGTCTGCACTGAAACCATTTGTTGCTTCAAGTAGATGGGCAAAGGTCAGCTTCCGCAAAGGTTTCTCGAATGTGGCTATGTTGATGCTGAGCGGCTCAGGAACACTGGAAAGTTTCCAGCTGCTGCTGCCTGAAGTTGGAAGGCTTTCAATATACTTCTCTCTCTTTTCCTCCTTCTGCTGGTACTTCTTCACTCGATATAGAGCTAATGCAAGTATAAGAATGCAGAAGAAAAAGAATGTGATGCCAATTACCATTCCTGAAGTCAAAGATTGCTTTTTTCTTCCAACTCTGGAATCTGCTGAGTGCCTTTGAGAGCTACATGCTCCCAAGGGTACCCCACAAAGGCCAGAGTTGTTCTCATATCTGGATGCTGGGAAAGTGGTCAGCTGACCTCCGGAAGGGATGAGACCACTGAGGTTATTGTTAGACACATCAAGATCACTCAGAAAAGAAAGAGTCCCCAAGGATCCTGGGACAGCGCCCTGAAGATTATTGTGAGAGAGATCAAGGACTCCAATTGCTTTTAATCCTCCAAAGCTATCAGGAATATTTCCAGTTAGCATGTTGTGCCCAAGGTTGAAGACTTGCAGATAGGACAGTGTACCTAAGTCGTCGGGAATGCTTCCAGACAAGGAATTGTAGGATAGATCAAGGTAGATCATGCTGCCATTACTGGTGAATGTGTAAACTGTCAAGCCAGAGTAAATTCTAGTTGATGGGCAAGAGTGCACCATAGGAAACTTTTCTAGTCTCTCTGCTCGGATTCCCTCAAACTCAACTAGTCCTCCTGCACCCCTGCAGGATGTCCCACCCTCATTTCTCACAAATGCAAACTGCTTCCCGGAAACAGTTCCAGGAGAGACTAGACCAGCTTGGTTGGCAAGCTCTGATGGGATAGAACCGCTTAGGTCATTGCTGTTTAAATCAAGCCAAATAAGGCTCTGACACTTGCCAAGCTCAGCTGGAATCTGTCCAGAGAGTGAATTGTTACCCAACTGAAGTATAGCAAGCTTAATGAGATTTCCAATACCAGAAGGGATATCTCCCATAAGGCGGTTGCTAGCTAGTGACACCCAAATCATATTGGTGCATTTGGCTATGGACCGGGGAATGGTTCCAGTGATGAGATTATTGTTGAGAATCAGAGTTTCCAGGTTTCCTCCATTGATGCAAATACCTTCTGGGATTTCACCAGTGAGGTTGTTTGCCCACATAACCAAGTCAGAGAGATTTGGCAAGCTCCAAATTTCTGAAGGAATTGGACCAATCAGATTGTTGAAACTAAGATCAATAGCCTTCAGGTTCTTGCAGTTTCCAAGTTCCGTGGGCACAGTCCCGGAGAGAAAATTGTTGGCTAGAAGTATCTTTTCCAAAGTTGAGGGAGCATTGGAGGAGCAAAACCCTGAAGGGACGTTCCCCGTGAAGGCATTAGAACTGAGATCGAGCACTTGAAGCCGAGTACCATTGGTAAGAGACAGTGGCACAGGACCAGTTATGTTGTTGAATGGCACATAGAGATATCTCAAACTAGGAAGACTACTTACAATGGAACTAAGGAAATTTCCTGAGAGCTGATTGTGACCAAGGTTGAGACTAACCAAAGAAGAGCAGGATGTAAAACTTGAAGGCAACCCTCCAGAAAGATTGTTAACCGAGATATCAAGCTCCTGAAGAGTCCCACAAGCCTTTCCTAGTTCAGTTGGAATTTCACCAGAAAAATGATTATGACCCAAAAACAGTTGCCTCAATTTCTTGAGATTGCCCAACAAAACACCAGGAATTTTGTTCTCAAGCTTATTATTGGAGAGGTCCAGTGTCTCCAGAACCTGACAATTACCAAGGCTTACAGGAAATTGATCCCCAGAGAGTGCGTTGTGTGCTAGCTTCAGCAAAGTGATGCTTCTGCACTGCCCAAAATCAAGGTTGGAGAATTGTCCAGTGAAATTGTTGCTTGAGAGATCCAAATACTCGAGAGATGCTGAGGCCTTTGCCAGGAAGCTGCTTGGTATTTCCCCAGAAAAAGTATTATTTGAAAGGTCAAGGGTTGATAGATTCTTGCAAGAAAAAAGAGAATCACTCAGTTTTCCAGTGAGCTTGTTAGTGGAAACATTGAGCAGATTCAGATTTTGACATGTCAACAAGGCTGTATCAGAAATCTGATTGTGAGAGAGGTCAAGCTGCAGCAGAGAAGAACCAAAGCTGAGACTGCCTCCAGGGATTGAATTGTGAGAGAGGTTAACAGAAGCAAGATGATCACAACTCAGAAGAAAAGATCGACTTGGAAAAGGTTCAGAGATGTTGTTGGAGGACAAGTCCACAGTCTCAAGTCTACATGAGGTTATGTTGGAGACAGAGAGATCAGCAGCAGAGAATGAATTGCCTTGCAGATAGAGATTTTGGAGACTCGGCAAGGCCGTGAGAGTTGGAAAGTGTAGGCTGCCAATGAGACCAGCGTTGGAGAGGTTGATGGTGATGACGTGGCCATCAGAAGAGCAGGTGAGGCCCCTCCATGAGCAGAGAGGGGTGGCAGAATCAGCTTTCCAATCAGACAAGAAACCATGGGGATCAGATTGAACAGAGGATTGTTTGAAAACCAACAGCAGCCCCACCTCATCATCATCACTCTGGCTTTGTTCTTGTTGTAGTTGTTGAGATGAAGACAAATTTCTGGCGCCTGAGGCCAAACTTAGGAGCAGGTATAAGTGAAAAACAAACAGCAAAAGAAAGCAGAAGAATCCCATCATGTACTAACAGCTACCCCCTCCTTGTTCTGATCTAATCTCTCCTCATCATCATCATACTTTCAGAAACTCATGAAAAAAAGAATCTTTTTTTGCAGATGGCTGATGAAAACAGCACCAACTATACAAAATTCATTCACCTAAACTCAACCAGTTTGCTTCATTTCAGATCTGAGCTGAACCTTGCAAAATTCCCACACATTTTCTCAAGTGGGCTCTGCTAGGAAGCTGCAATCAAAAGACCAAAAAGAATTAAATAAACCAAAGGGTTGGTGGGATTGGTGGTGGAAATCACTATCAAGTATCAAACATGTATGAAAGCATCAAACTTTGAAAGAAACACATCAAGAACACAAACATTTATGAGCTAACAAATACCATGAACATGAACGAAAGAGAAAATGACAAATATGGAAAAAAAGAAAAAGTAAGAGTGATGGGGGCTTAAAGGAAGAGAAGCTCGTGCTGAGCTATAATGGGCAATCAGAGATTGTTAGGGAAAGAAAGGAGAGGAAGATACCTCGGAGTGACAGAACCTCTGGGTACGATGTTCAGAAATGTCGGGCTTTGATACTCAAACCAGCAAGTACAGTACTAGCATTTCATTTCAGTCGTTTAATGTTTTCTTCTTTCTTTTCTCTTTGACTGCCAATTTTGGAACCCAGAAGGCAAAACACCCCCAAAACTGTTCATGTGAATGTGACACTCTTGCTTTCTGCAGATTCACACAAGTCTGCAGCTTGCAGGATCAGAAGGGTGAAATGATGAACAAAAGATAAATGGCTTAGTTTAGAAGGAGAAGAAAAAGAAAAGAAAAAAAGAAGGAAAAAAAAATGGCTTGGAGAAAGAGGAGGGAGTTTCTGATGCTTTAGGGGAAGTAAAGTGAGACAGAAACAAGAATATAGAATACAAAGGCAAGTTGGTGGGCTTTGGGGGAAAGAGAGAGAGAGAGAGAGGGAGTAAATTGTGGGAGTGATGCCCCCCATCTTTTTCTCTATTTTCGGGGTCCAGTCAAACTTGGGATATGATTCTTTCTCTCTCTCTCTCTTTCTTCTGTCAATTTCTGACAATTTCGGGGCTCTTCTTGGGCAGTTGGACGGATTACCCCGCACGTACGTCTCTAAATTTGATTGTGATATCCTTCCTTTTTTATTATCATTGTTATTATTTTGTCACCATTTTTGAAGTAAACACTGGATTTCCTTATTTACTTGATAATAATTGGATTTCCTTATTTCAAATGGGTTGATTTTTATTTTAAAAATTAACGGTAAAAGATGATCTATAAAATGAACAGTTGGATTTCCAGTTCACATTGTCAAAGGAGAATGGTAACTAATATTCCTTCTTATCTAGTGTTACATCTATCACATTTATTAAGTATAGTTATTTTTACTATATTTAGAGGACTCATTTTCTATAAGTCTCATTCACTTTTACAAGAAATGTGATGTACAGTTAATATAATTATTGTAGCAATATATATTTCATCTTCATTTTTCTTTTCTTTTTTCACTCTTATATCTAAGATCCTGAATTCAGCTTCCCGCTCTTTCATTTTTTTATATAATAAAATTACAATAAAAAGTACCAAGTACAAAGTGGGATATATTCCTTGGTGGTTTTCGGAAACACAGTCTTCAAATCCCAACACAAATAGATTTTTAAAAAAAAATTGAGATCGACTCTCAATGCATCAACAAGGTTCAACATTTACCAAATAAAAAGGAAACTGAGATATATTATAGTAAATGTTGCATAAAAGAGGATTTGTCTGTTGTACCACTCTTTATATTGTTATAACTTATTACAAGTTTTTTCCATCTTGTCTTCAACATGTATGCGAATCTAGCTTATTAAATCTTATCAATTGAAAAAATTGCTCTTCTCTAGCAAATAAAATATATCAAGAAAGATTTTATTATTCATTCGAATTACGTGATAATCGAGGTCTCTTTATAAAGGATAATACTTGTCTTATTCACTGTAAGGAGATACTCCTCATTCATGCAAATCACAATTTGACACTTACACAAAAATAATTCATCAAAAACACAAAAAGAAAAGTTTATGCACATATATCACATTGCTATTGATAGAAATGTAGAAACTCCTACTTACATGGTAGTCTTTTAGATGCAAATTCAACGCCCGAGATTATAAATATGTAACAAATTCTTAACTTAAATACTTATTAAAGAATCTTCCATCAAATTATATGCATCAATAATTTTCTACTAGTTACATAGAAAAAGAGGATAAATATGAAAGTATGCACTCGAATCTTACGTCATAACATTGAATAAATGGTACTAAAAAACCATATTCTTATGACCTAAAAAGTTAGTATGAAATAGCAAGCAATGACTTTTAAGTTGGACGTCCATTGCATGAGAGAGAAAGGGGGAGAAGTAAGAAGCTTATTGGATAGGCACGTTGAGACCTAATAACATTATTAATATATTTTTTTTCGTTAAGTGTATTGGTCCCCCAAAAACTGCTCCCCTCCCCACATCCATAATTTATGTTTAAAAACTAATTGAGATTTTTTTTTCTTCTACTTCTTCTGTAAGGCTTCAATTTTAGTGGTTTTACAAAAGGAGTAAAATTGTCACTAAAGGTTGAGGGTGGCGAATAGCTTTTTCGAGTGCCAACCAACCAAGATAATAAGGCAAATTATAAAGCAAAAACATAGAATTTCTATCTCTCACACAGAAAACTTCACACTATACTCAACAATATCTGCACTTCAACTAACTCAACTCTTTCGTTCATTTTATTTCAAATGGAAATCATACATCTGAATTTGAGACATAATCGAACGCTAAAAAGAAAAAAAGTAACACTTGATAAAGAGTTAATTAATATTTATTTTATTTTGTTCACTCAGTCTCGTGTGTCGATATATATTCTAAGTCATTCACGCAATGCAATATTAAAAAGTTAAAATGCACAATACCGTGTGATTGATTTAAAATACCGACACGTTTCCGATATAAGTAAGTTTTTCTCATAATTACATTAAAGATTATAATAAGAAGAAGGTGGTGTTGGTGGATGGTATAAATATAGAAAACCTGGAAAAGCTGAGAGAAGGCACGGGGCGCGGGGCGCGGGGCGCGGGGCATAGGGTTGTGGGGGGATCTCTCTCGGAGTGTCTCACTAAACTCAACTCTCCAAAACCCATAACCCAAAACCCAAGTCAAGTCTGCCAAAATTTGTGTAGCTGTTGTTGGTAAGCTTGTAGCCGAGTGGGGGTGCATTTTGTCAGTATGCTTTTCACACGAGTGCATCGATTTCTAAACAACACCCAACACCCCGCTAGATTCGCACTTTGCACTCCAATCCAACAAAATATATACAATAATAAATGTTAATATTATTATTATTAAATAAAGTCAGTAAATTATAAAGAAAGAAAAAGCAAAGAAGGGCACACACACTAATTTTTTGGTCATTTTCTCTGTTCATTTATAAAATCATTAGCAGCATTGTCATAGACGTATGATTGAAAAAATAAATTAAATTAAATTAGAGACTATATGTTATTGGTTTTGCTAGAAAACAGCGGAATCCTCGCAAAGAAAGCAGGGTGATTTATGGACCGTCGCTTTTGTTTTATTTATTCATTTATATAAGTTGGTAATGAATAAAGTGCGAAATCAACACTGCCCCGAGGCTCCCCACCATGCCAAAAAGCCATAACCCACATATACATGAGATGAGAGACCAGCTTATATGCCCTCTTCACGGGTTCTTCAACCTTACTCCTCTATATATATATATACTTTTTTTTTGTCCATCTTTATGTGTATACTTTGTTAATTAGGTTGGCATTCATTATTTCGTTTTTAAAATAATGGCAAATGCCCTTCCTTTCTCCCCATCTCTCTTGGTATGGAAATGATAGAAATTCTTGGACTATATTTAATGGCTATGTTGTTGATCAAATCAATTTACTTGCATCATACTTGTTAGCTTTTCTGGTGATTACAACTCCTGCAAAAGTAGGACATGCATAACTCTTACTTATAAAGGTAGTTTTGACTTTCGTGAAAAATGTGGTTAGTAAATAAGGCGCACATATATAACATTAATTGATCAATAAATGGCAATGTAAAGTATTTTGTCTATTGGTGACATTTTTTTGCTAGGATCTTTGTTTGTTTTTCACGTTGTTCTTCTTAGTGGGTGATTGATTTATTGTATTTTGTCGTGTTATCTTGCCTCCCTATATAGTCTCCACATTTGTTGGTCACAACTTGCCCAAATTTGTTTGATAGCACCTTTGTTTTCTTTTACTCATGCCCTTAAGAGCAATTTCACTCATTTGTTATGGCAAAGGATAAGGGTAAGGCAAGGGTTGTTGTTATTCACGTGAATAGTGGCAACCATTGGAAAAGGTTGTGGTGTTTCCAACTATTGTCATGACAACTACTATTTACATGAGATATGATGAGAGGAATTTGTATAGAGTTTTGGTGTGGGAAGTGAAGAATATGACTAAGTATTTATTTATTAAAAAAATTATGAAATTTTTTGTTGTTGTTGACATCAGCAAACCCAGGCTAGAGGTCAGGTTGGTTTGGCCTGCGAGTTGGCTAGGTTGTGTGGGTCCCACAGCTTGCCCTGGCAAGCGTGGCCCGTTGGAAGCGCTTCCTTGGGCTTGGGCCCTGTCCTGCCCTGGCTGAAGGCAACGGATGGAAGGGCTCTAAGAGGGAAACCAGTCTGTTGTATTTTGTAGTATTATAGTATTGCTTTAGTTGTTGTGTCGTAACTTACTCATGTTTGTTTGACTGCGGTTTATGCTAGCCGTTTTGTCGTTCTTTGGTGGTAGTTATTGTTATAATATTTGTCTATTTTTTGTTCGTTCTCCTAATTAGGTGACCAATCTATTGTATTTTTCCATTTCCTTATTTGTTGTGTTGTAACTTGCTTATGTTTATTTTGCGACAATTTATGTTAGATTGTGTGTTTTGTTCACTCCCCTAAAAGGGTGATGAATTATTTGAATTTTTTCGTATCGATTATTTCCTTATTTGTTCTGCCGTAACTTGCTCATGATTATTTGGTAAAAGGTTTTGGTTAGTATATTTCTTTATTGTTTGCTCGTTCCCCTATGTGGGTGATCAATCCAGTGGCTTGTGTGTCGTGTTATCTTGTTTTCTTATTTATTATATTGTAATTTGCTCATGTTTGTTCGAGTGAAATTTATGTTAGATTTGTTGATTTTTTTTGTTCGTTCCCCTAAAATAGGTAACCGATCTCTTATATTTTGTTGTATTCTCTCTTATTTCCTTATTGTTTCGTCAAAACATTATCATGATTGTTTAATGGTAGGTTTTTTTTATAGCCTTTTTTCTTTCTCATTCCCCTAAGTAGTGATAAACTTATTGCGGTTTGTCACATTCTCTTTTTTCCTGATTTATTATTTTGTAACTTGCTTATGTTTTGCAAGAATTCATGTTATCTCCTTTGTTTCTCTTGTGACACAATGAGAAACACAAATAAAGGATTCACAAGCTTTTACACCCTAAAACATAATCTGGACGAGTACAATGCTTAAAATTGTTTGAATAGAAAAAGAAAAACCCCTAAGACCCCAATATTCTAGAATATTCCTAAATAACTATTACAAATAAAACTATCTTAAAGTAGGAGAAAAAAGAATATTAAAACACGAAAAAAAATTATAGACACACTAAGAGCATCCACAATGGGAGGGTCTATAAGGGGGTGTATGTTAAATATACACCCCTTGTCGCCGGAATAATCTCTAATGAGGAGATGTAAATGGTTGTAAACATACATCATCACTATGGAAATGTAAAATAAAATGCACATTTACATATATTTTTACATCTTTTATAGGCGGGACCCACCTGAGAAAATAGAGGAAAAATGAAGAAAATAAGATGTAAAAATGGCTTTACATCGTTTCCCATTGGAGCAAAAAATGTATTTACACCCCTCGGAGGTGTAAAGGGGATGTAAAAGTGGCTTTACACCCCCGAAAATACACCCCCCCCACTGTGGATACTCTGATGGACGATAAAGTTGGACTTGTTACTTTGCTGGATCGTCGTTTAAATTTTGAATGTCCTGTTTTGGGTAATCTAGCACGAAAGAACTTGCTTGAGTGCGAATTCTCAATCTTGTACACCTTCTTCTTTAACTTGCGCCTCTTCCATCTCTATTTGGTGCATCGTTTTTTCTAGTTAGTAATAAAATTTGATTTACCAAAATATAAAAATTCGTTTTCTCCTTTTCATTTTCTCGTCTGTTGATAAAAAAAGAACGAAACTATTCGTACTATATTGTTCATTTTCTTGGCTATCCAAGCGTGGTCTAGAGCTTCATCTAAAAGATGTTTCGAAACAATTTGAAAAGATGTGTTCAAACAGGTTGAGAATCACATACATCATACGTGCAAAGATTAATTAATCCAATCAAATGAACAGAAAGTTTGGAGTGTACCAAAAGGTAAAGCAAAAAACAAACCCGAATAGAGTAGGGCTCCCAAGGAAAGGGAGCCTGGTCTCCGGTGGAGCCTCCGAAATATTTGACTTTAGTAGGAATTGGTACATTGCGTTTTCCATGGGATATTGTTGATTTCTAAATTATAAAATGTTTCTTTGAGACCCTACAGTTAGTTGAAATTGGTTAGCTTGTAAATAGACGTCTCAATTGCTTCTTCCACACCACCACCACGGCAGCCTTGTCTTGTCTTGATCTTGGATTTTTAGTTTGTGAGAAATTAACTTGATAGAAACCCTAAAAGCAAATAGGCAAATGTCACAGAAATGCTACATATAATCATTACTTGGTGATAATGTTCACAGGAGGGGAAAAAGTTGATGGCCCAAATAGTTCTTTTGGCTTTCTTTTCAAAGGACTAGGAAAGATTTGATATTATGAGATTTTTGTCTCTAATACTAGGAAAAGAAAGCTTTCCTGCTGCTGCTACCTTTAACTTTGTGGATAGGGGTCAAGTGATCAAACAATAACAATAGTGAGAATTATATATTCATAATTCATATCTATACTTTTGATTTCACTAAAATACTATTCAAAATCAATAGCTTTACCACTTGCGTTTGATAGTTGTACATGGAGTCTTGTCAATTCGTCTACATTGATAATCGTTAATGATTGATGTAATCCCTTGTAGGGGTTTATATTTGAAATCAACAGCTTTACCATTTGTAGGGTTGATAGTCGTACACGGAGCTTTACCAATCCGTCTACATTTCGTTGATGATTGATATAAATCCCTAATAGGGTTTACATTATTCAACAGTTATCAGTCATACATGTATAGATAACTTAACGCTAGATTTTTAAATATTTGAAATTCACTATTAATATCCTTTTAAGAATGATTAATTATATGTTTCGATCCAACCAAATAAAGATTTTGAGTGCTGCATAAGATATATATAACTTTTGAGCCATGTGAAAGCCTAAAAGGGCTTTGAGTAACTAATTTCACCATTTTGGCATCATTGGCTAGACAAACAAAATAGCTCATATCTAGCTAAAGACTTTTGAATCATGTAGCAGATTGAAGGTTGGTCCAATGTTTCTTACCTGTAATCATGATATATAATTATGGGTAGGGAAGGTAATTTCATTCAAAAGTTATAAGTCGTGGGTGCCACGTTTCTTTCCTAGGCTTCTCCCTCAAATCTTGAAACTTTTTCTTCTTCATACCTACCAATATGGGAGAGTTCAAATTTTGTTTTCTTCCATGACCCTTTTTGCTTTGACATTTTGAGCCGACCAAATGATAGAGTGAAAGCAATGGCCATGAACCTTAAATATCATTTCATTGATTTGAATTCATTATAACGATACAACCAAGCTCATGCATGCCACCTAATTTTTGGCCAGACCTAATTTGGGCCTGGTTGGGACTGGACTTGGTGGAGCTGAATTTCAAGTTTTATATATTGGGTCAAAGTTGTGGGTTGGGTTGGATCGACCTAAATTATAATTCAAAAACTACCTGTTCGTTAGGGGGTCCTTAACAGCCATATGATGAATTACAAAACTATTGTTGAATGGCTAAATTGAAACCCTCAACATAGCTCTCTCATTATAGAAACTCCCTTTTCTTTGTCAAACTACGTGTAGGGTTTGAGCGATGTTCTCTCCTTTAGCCTGGACTTAACACAACCTGACCCGTGAGACTAGTCAACAGCCCATGAGATTAAACTTCAGGGCAGCCCAACGCTTAAAACTAAGCCCAAAAATTAGACCTTGCCTAGGCCTAGAAGTTAATTCCTTTGACTTGATCTGGGCCAATCCCATGCAGACCATGCATAAGAGCACCTCTAGCACACAAGCCCTGCCAGGACAACATGCCCCCGCCAGCCCAAATCCAACTCCAGCGCAGCCCAATGAGCTTGGGCAAGCCCACGGGCAGATCTTGCTTGGGTTTCAGCCCGAAGGTGCTGACGTCAGCAAGAAAATATTAATTTTTTTTTTTTACCGTTGGCGAGTGATTTTTGCTCATTGACGTCAGCGCTGATAAGGCCCAACGAGAATATGCCACGTGGCGCTTCCTGGACGCTCCGATGCAATATTTTCCATAAATCCGATGGCTTTGATTTTGTTGGCTAAAAAATTGCAAAAAAATACCAAAAAATTTTGGATTTTTTCCCTATAAATTCCTAACAATTTTATTCACTTTCCATACCAAATCTTCATACAAACTCATCTCCTTCCAATATTTTTCACTTTCCACACCAAAATTTCATTTGTGCAAAAATACAAGTGACCTCTTCCATCGAAGCTGGAGGGTCGTGGACAAATGTTCAAAGAGGTCAAAATCTTGGCAACGAGGTAAATTTTTTTTTATTTTTTATATTCAATTTAATGTCATTTTTTATTTATATATTTCTTGCATTTCCAATTTCCAATTTCATTTTTTAATAGATTAGTCAAGGCAAAACAAAAAAGAGGAAAACCATTACACATGGCTCCTCAAGTGGACAATGCTTGCAGTCGGTTCCAATGGTGCGTTCCGTGTATGAAATTATGGCACTATTACGTCCTCCGAAGGAAAATATTCTCTCACGTCGTGATCTGGTGAAACCGCCTCCGTCAATGATTGAGTTGTTCTTATACTCCATTGTGTCAGACTATGAGGACCGAGAATATTTCAATTGTACAATGAGTGAGTATGTATTTTAATTGTATGATAAGTGAGATGTGAATTTTATAATAAATATGGACATGTGGCAACCGAAAATTTAATTTAAAAATTTTGTCCAAAAAATATTATATGAAATTTTAAGTGAGAATTTTATAATAAATAGTGACACGTGACAATCGAAAATATTATCTACAAAGCTTATCAAAATTAATAATTTAAGTATAAAAAAATAATAATAATAAAGTAGAATGAATAGTGTTTGCCATTACCCTAGCCTTTTGAGGTGGAACCCAAAAAAGGCAAGGCTGCCACTATTCACGTGAATAATGACAGCCCTTGCCTTGTCTTAGCCTTTTGGGGGTGGACTTGCTCTAAGGCCATCTCCAATGCAAGGACTCAAACCCAAATTATCCCCCAAAATCTCTCCCAACCTAACAAAATGAAGGACCCAAAATTTGGGAAAACCCAAATTTGTATCCAAATATAGGTCCAAGTATTGCCTGGACCCAATACTGTTTGCTGGACCCCACGCTGAGGTGGCTGAGGCCATGTGATTTTGAAAATTGGTGGGACCCGCGCTATTGACATTTTCTGATGGGCTTTGGCTGTGGCTAAAGCCACGTGTCAGCACTACAAGCTCTATAAATGGGCTTTGGCTGTTTCCTTTTTTTATTTTTATTTTTTATAAATCAAATAGTATTGTTGGGGCTTTAAACAATCTGCTTTTTTTAAAATAAAAAATTCTAATAGTAACTTTAAATTAACGATCTAGATTAAATCTAAGCTATTTTAACGGTAAAAAAAAAAAAGATCCAACGGCTGAAATTTAAATCCAACGGTCAAAATAATATTTTAAATTAATCTAGGTCAGATCCAACCCCAAAACTCACTCCAAACTCTATAAATACCCATCCATTTCTCAAATAATCTACCAAAAACGTTTTATCTATTTCTCAATTTATTTTTCCTTTATCAATCTCATCAATCTCATTTCATTATCATACTTTTGATATCATTTCAAGCACATAAAAAAAAATTTATGGAATTTCAATTTTTTTTAGGTCAAATTGTTCAAAAAATTAAATTATGATGTTATTTAAAAAGATTAAATGAAGAAAAGTTATCCATAAAAAAAAAAAATAGACTTAAACCATTCTTAAACAATTTAATAAAGTTGCGAACCTAAAATTTGAGTCCATAGGGTTGGGAGAAAAAACAATTTGAGTCCGGGCAAAACCCAAATAGTCACTTTTTGGAGGGGGGAAATTTGGGTTTAGCCCCTCATGGGTTGGAGAAAGCCTAAGGGAGGGTAAGTTAGTTTGGAATTACAGTATTTATTTATTTATTGGGAGATTCACTATTATATCCAATATGAGGGCTCAAATTATAAAAATATCCCATATGAAATGGACTTTAGAAACACATCCAAAGCTCATTTACAACATGACAAAAAAGCATTTAATTTCTTATAAATAACAAAACTGCCATCAATTTCTTAAAACAAGCCCAACCCCAAAATCTCATAAAAATACCCAAAACACTCAATAGGATATCAAAGTAATTTAATAATCAATATTAAATTCAATAAGGTCAGCTGTCATTTTTTGGGTTTATTTATATAAATTCAATTGTGTAGAGTTTATTTATAATATTAATACTAGAAATGAGTATATCACTAAATATCTCTTATTTATTTTTGGGTCAATGGGAATTGAAATCGTTCTCAGTAAAGAAGAAAACATAGGACCAACGACCTTTGGCGCCTGGTGCAATTTTACAGAGGCACAAAAACCAAGAGGATAATCTACTAAGAAATTGGTAACTAGTACTGGGAGGCTGATATCAGCTTCTGACTCTTTTTGTACTTCACAATATAGTAAAGAACGAAGACTTGACTGAGCAAAGATAGAAGAAGAGAAAACGCTGACCATCACCACCATCACAATTCAAAGAGACCCTTTTTCACATTTGATGGGTGAAGATTAAACCCCAAAGCTCTCCACCTTCATACAGCCATTTCATTCTTTGTTGGGTAAGCTTCAGTTTCTTGTTTTCAGCTTTTCTTGTCACAAAGTCTTGTCAAGAATCTCAAGATCGACTTTTTTTTTGTATTTTGGTTTTATTTTATTTATTTATTTGTTTCAATTCAATGCTAAATACTAATATCATATTCATGGTTTCTGGAAGTTAGCATCTTGTCAGTTGTTACCAATTAGTTCATTATATAATTAGAGCAGCAGTAATTATTGAAGTTTAAATGAAAAATTTATTCCTATTACCCTCAGGTTTCATTGAAGTTTTCTTTGTTAAGTTTTATATCTAAATAAAATTTTGTCAATTTGTGCCTCTATCTACTCACTTGATCAAAAGTATTCATCCCGTATGTGATCTTTAATGGATCTTTTTGTCCTTCTGTTAACTAAAACATTCTTTAATCTTCTGCTGCTCATTCAACTTTTGGGGCATCTAGGAAGATTTGAGCTTGGCCTGATTAGCTTTCTCTAGATTTCATCTGAAGATGGGGCTTTGACTTTCAATTGGTTTTAACTCATGCTTCTATGATTCTGTTCTTGATGCATGCATTAGGAAAGAAAAAATTGAAGGCAGAGGTGTTGGGTGATTGTCACTCTGTCTCTCTCAAAATCCAAATTTGATGTATGGGTTGAGATTAGGTGATTCTACTGAAGCTGCTGATGGGGAGAACAGAGATGCCAATCCTGAATTCTTTCATAATTTATAGTTCTGAATGTCCGCAATCCCGAATGTTGTTGAAGTGCAATTGCAAACACATTTGTGCATAAAGAAGTTGGTCTTTGTCTCTCCTCATGTCAATAAACACTCTGGATATATTTATTTTTGGTGTTCATGCAACATAAGCTCTGATACCAGGAGCCATAGATAAATTAGTTTCTCCTTTGTGAAGTGTGATGATCTGAAACAGAAAGACACACACGTATATCAAATCTAGCTCTCTCTCCCTCAGCTAAGTTGTACAATGTAGCAAATCCCTTGCCTCCATAGTTTTGAAGTGTGTAGAACTGAGGTGAAGATGATAATGAAGATAGGTGGAAAGTTCAAAAAGCTATGTTCTTTTCCTTATTTGGTTATATGGAGTGTAAATATGGTCAATAAATTTACTAAGCTAGTGATACGTAGGACAATTCTATGCATGACGCCGGTGCTATATTTGCGTGTACATAACTTATGGTTCTTTTAGGCCCTCTGTTTTCTCTCAAGTATTCCAGCAATATTGTAAGGGAGATAAAAATCTAGAAACTATTACAAAGGCTTGTTGAACTTGTGCTAAAGTAGTTTTATTTTCTGTACCGCATTTTAATGATATGTTGACTCTATCTGCAGGAGAAATATGGCTGCCTTAGCAACTGCTGAAGCTTGTGATACGAATACAGCCCTTTTAGGAAGTGGAGATTTGCGTGTTCTGCCACCAATATTCCAGATATACGGACAATGCCGAGCATTCTCAGGCCCCATTGTCACACTTAAGGTATTCGAGGACAATGTTTTAGTAAGACAGCTTCTGGAAACCAGAGGTGAGGGAAGAGTTTTAATAATTGATGGTGGAGGAAGCATGAGATGTGCTTTGGTTGGGGGAAATTTGGGACAGTTGGCTCAAAACATGGGATGGGCTGGTATTGTGGTAAATGGCTGCATCAGAGATATAGATGAGATAAACGGATGTGATATTGGGGTGAGAGCTTTGGCATCTCATCCGGTGAAATCAAGCAAAAAAGGCATTGGCGAAAAGCATATTCCGATCAACATTGCAGGAACCTTGATTCGTGAAGGCGAATGGTTGTATGCAGATAGTGATGGCATCCTCATCTCCACATCTGAATTGTCTCTTTGAATCAGCATTGTTGCTTCACATGTAAACTGTCAAACCAATAAGAGCACTGAGTTCTGAAGTCAATTGTATTTGGAACTTGTTATTTCACTTTTGTTAGCATCTGTGTACGCATTAAATTTTCTTTATCAACAAAAGAATGTGTTAGTTTTTATCAGCTGATATGGCCGAGTATTTTCAATTATTATTCAATTATGACACCATATTGCCAATATTAGGAAAAAGGCTTCCATGAAACGGGGATAACACTATTTTGCAATACCTGACGAATAATGCTATGACACGCGTAATAACACTTCCATATGACAACATTATTTATCAGGGATGGCAAAACGTTACTATCCCCATTGCAACTTTTCTCCAATAGTAGCAACACATTAGGTTTCTTCAAGATTCAACTATCATATAAAACTACATGAATGGACTGGTGACTTCATGGGCTTTGCCTTTTTGTTAAATTGCTTTGCATTGGCGATGGGTTATTGGGTTAGCCCGAAAAGAAAGAGCCTTGTAAACCCAATGGTGACAATTCCCAAAACTAGTTCTTCTTCATACAGATAGGTCGAAAAGCCCGTAAAGAAAGAGCCTTGTAAACCCCATGGTGACTAGTCCCAAAACTAGTTCTTCTTCATACAGATAGGTCGAAACCGGGCAGTTGTTGATGCCAAATTAGAGAAGATGGAGCAGAAGAAGCGAAAAGAAGAAAGGAGGATGGGTTTGGAGAGACTGCCCAGCAGCTTATTGATAGAGGAAGTTCTGCTCAAGTTGGAAATAGAGGCTCTGTGCTCAGTTTCATGCGTTAACAAAGCCATGAGCTTCTCAGTCTCTCAGGCCCTGCCTTTACTCTCGTCTATCAATCTCTCTGTAAAGTCTTTTTCTTTCTGAATTCTACTTGGGTTTCTTTTATTTGCCTTTTGTTTTGTGAACTGAAAATTATAAAAAGAATGGCAATTGCAATTGTATATGCAGGCATTTTCTCCTGATGCTCAGATTCTAAATAGTATTGTTGGTGGCTGCAGGGGCCTCCACAGCCTCACCCTAAATTGTCTCCACCTTGACAATTTGTCACTCGGAGTTATTCTGGGCACACATCTTCAAGAACTGAATTTGTTAAGCTGCTCCCTGCTGTCCTATCAAGTCTTCACTTCCATCGGGGAGGCCTGCCCCAATCTCAGGTAATCCATTTTGATATTTTGTCTAGTTTTGCCCAACCCAAGATTGCATCTTGATCTTTTCTGTAACGAGAAGGTTTTTGTTAGGGTGCTTGTGTTAGAATTGGTAGACCAGTGCTCAACTGAAGCATTTAAGACCAACCTGGACCAAATGCTTAATGGATGCTTGTGCTTGGAGGTAATATTATTGTGTCTGAATGCTGCTCTTTGATATATAATGTAAAACTTCATATGAGAAAGGATGTTTCATGAGAAAAGGAATGTATAAAAGCTAAAGTTTGTTTCTTTGGTAATCAAACAGTCTTTTTCTCTTAAGATTCGAGGGAGAGATGTAGGAGCAAATGCTTTTCAGTCCATTGATTTCTTCCTGCCTAGTGCTCTCAAAAGTATGAAGTTGCAGTCAGTGCTTGAGCAAGATGTAATTCGTCTCATGGATAAGATTAGAGTTGGAGCTGATAGGAACAGTGTGCAAACAGCTCATGTCAGCATCCCCGTCTCTCCATTATCATCTGTATTCACATTGCAGCGCTTGTCCCTTGTCTTAGATGCTATATCCGATGAGCTAATCATGGCCATTTCCGGAAATCTCCCCGCTTTGGTAGAGCTAGATCTTGAAGACAGACCAGTTAAGCAACCATTACCAAATCATGACTTAACCAACACCGGGCTTCAATATTTGGCCTCTTTCCATCATTTGATGGGATTGTCTCTTATACGAAGTAGACATAACCAGCAAGTCTCATTCAAAAGGGTAAACGATATGGGCATGTTTCTTCTATCTGAGGTCTGTAAATGTCTAGAGTCAGTGAGACTCTGTGGGTTTTCCAAAGTCAGTGATGCAGGTTATGCATCGATCTTACACTCGTGTCTGAAGTTGAAGAAGTTTGAAGCTCGGAATGCCTTTTTTTTGTCAGACTTGGCCTTTCTTGATGTTACTGAGTTCCAATGTTCCCTTGTTGAGGTGAAGTTGCTGTCCTGCAGTCTTATAACTAGTGAAACCGTGAAGCAGCTGACCCGTTCTAGGGTCCTGGAGGTGCTTGACCTGTGTGGGTGTAGGAGCATAGCAGATTCCTGCCTCGGTTCCATTTCATCCCTTCGTAGCTTAAGTATGCTGAATCTCGCAGGAGCTGATATTACAGATTATGGCTTATCGGTTCTTGCCCAGGGGATTCCATCCATAACACATTTGTGTCTCAGACACTGTGAGAGGGTGACTGATGAGGGAATTTCTTTTTTGTTCCATGGTGGAGGCACAATTCGCAAAACATTGTCAGCCCTGGATTTAGGACACATGCCTAGAATATCAGACAAAGCCATTTTTACAATTGCCATGGCTGGTACTGAGATTACTGAGTTGTGTCTCCGGCATTGCTCTGTGACCGATGTTTCTCTAGATTGTTTGGCTATGAGGAAAACGTTTCGGGACGAATGTAAACTACTTCGGAGGCTTGACCTTCTGAAATGCACTGGTTTGTCTGTTAATTCACTGAGGTTTCTTAAGAGGCCTTCCTTCCCTGGACTACACTGGCTTGGTATTGGGGGCACACCTCTTGCTAGCAAAGGATATCCAACTCTTAGCAAAATTCATAACCAGAGGCCATGGCTGACAATATGTTTGGAGGGCTGTGAAATGGGATGTTATGATGGATGGCAATTCCATAGAGCTGGATATCCTCAATGAAAGCCCCCTTTTATACGAAGAGTTGTTTCTCTATCTTATTTGATGAACCCATTTTATTGTAAGAATTCATCCATATATATGAAGCTGTAACACCAACATCCAAAAGTTATCAATGCATTCATATAGCTAAATTTTAATTGTTTTTTGTTTGTTTCTGTTTTGAGTGCTTCTATAGACATCCAGAAGTTATTATTGCATTGCATATATCCGAAACCAAAACTATTTTTGGATATCGAGTTGGTCTTTTCTTGATTTTAAACAACAGTGAGAAAGGAGGGCCTGTAATAGATAAAATTGTAGCACAACATCATCAATGTGAGGGGTCGTCTTTGATAGAAAACTAGTCAAATGGATAATCTCAACATGCCAAGCAAGAAGCTGAAACAACAGCCTAGTTATTTCAAAATGACCAAGCCTGAACAAAAGGCAAGTTTAATGGGCATATAACATATACAAACTCACACACCAGCCACGGATATGACTTTAGATATGATAGGGAATTCACAAAATCAGGAAAGCCCTAGGTGCACAAGTAATCTAGGCTATTTTTTTTTACAATAAACTGGAAGAAAACACTCATTACTGGAACTTTGAACATGAAGCCTTGATTAAGAGCGGTTTTTTGGGGTACAAGCAATTGGGGATGGTGGTTTACACAAATATTTATCGGGTAACTATGATTTTTGAATCTCTTCCCATGTGAGTGGAGGTGGAAGAGACCGACTGAGCTATGCACTATTGCACCTTTCATCAATAGAATATACTTTACACCTCGGCAGAAAAGGAAAAATATTTTGAACCCCGCACCGCATGTGTCATGTGGCTTGTATTCTATTTCAAGTTGGTCTCGTTTTCAATGCATGAGAAACTTTTTGTAAGAAAAGAAAACAAATGTGGCTTATTTATATAATCTCTCCAATATTATTACAAATATTAAATTTTATCAAATCTTTTGAGGGGCCTTACCCAGATTCGATCTTCCAGCAGCTGCAACCAATTAAAATCCTCAAGTAGGGCATTACAAGTTCTCTATCAATAGAAATTTTCCTTTCCTATTTTCTAGCCAAACAAACACTCTTTATAGCTAATCAATTAAACACATTGAAACTACAATGATCGAATCTGTTCCTACTGGCCGTGGAATTCAAGGATATTCATATACCTCTGTCACCCTAAAGAAAATAGCTACAGTGATACCTGCAAAGCTGCAGCGCCAGAATTACTTTTTCTGGAAGCTACTTTTCGAGCAAATCTTTAGTCGTTACAAGCTCATGGGAATTATTAATGGCAGCGAACCTTGTCCAGCTCAGTTCTTGACGGACAAGGAAGGAAATGATCTCACTGATCAAATTAATCCAGCGTTTGAGATTTGGCACGACAAGGATCAGGCCATGTTAACCTGGATGAGGTCAACATGTTCGGAACACGTCCTCCCATTCACAGCAGGACTCGCTTCGTCGCGTGAGCTTTGGCTAAACCTCGAGAAGAGATTTCAGGTTGTTGGCGTGTCCTCGGAGTATAGGAGAAACCTGGCGGCCGCTGCTTTAGCAACAACCGACATTTGCGATGCACATCCTGACCTTCTGGCCAGTGGAGACCTGCGTCTTGTGCCGCAAGTGTTCCAGAAATATGGAAAATGGCAGGCATTCGCAGGCCCTGTCGTGACGCTGAAGGTGTTTGAGGACAATACTTTGGTTATAGAGCTTCTCTCCACGAAAGGCGAGGGTAGGGTTTTAGTGGTTGATGGAGGAGGAAGCATGCGACGTGCTGTCACCGGAGGGATGCTGGCTCGGTCGGCTGAGATTATGGGATGGGCTGGGATTGTGATAAATGGTTGCGTGAGAGACGTGGATGAGATCAATGAATGTGAGATTGGGTTGAGAGCTTTGGCAACTTGTCCAGTGAGACCTATCAAAAACGACTCTGGGTCTGGCCAAAAGCATGTTCCTGTAAGTATTGGAGGGGTCTTGATTCAAGAGGGAGAATGGTTGTATGCGGATGGAGATGGCATCCTTGTCTCCTCATCCGAACTGTCTATTTGAACCCTAATTAGTCAGTGCATTGTTAATGCAGGTTGCTTGTGATGGTCACAGCTTAAATTGCTGAGCCAATATACGGCATTTGGAATTTGATTCAAAGTAAACTGTTTTCCTGCTTTGCTGTTGCTGGCCGGATTGCGGCGGTTCTTCAAGTGTGATGTGCAGTTCGTTTAGAGTTTGGTAGGTTTATGTGCAACTTTTCTTTGGGCTTTGGTTTTTTTTTTTCAGTGTATTTTAATTTGATGAAGGAAGATGCCAAATCCGTCTCAAAGATACCGGTCAACGAGACTTTGTGGGTTTTCTAAAGGCAGACATGCACACAGCCCCTACACTCGTGTCCTTTTTTTCCTTTTTTCTTTTTCAATCCGCACACTGATGTCTGAATAAGGAACTATTTTAATGATATTTTTTCATTGGTATAATATGTGTGTGTGTGTGAGAGAGAGAGAGAGAGAGAGAGAGAGAGAGAGCTATGAGATTTATATTTCTTTCTGAATTGTCTAGGTCTTGGCAATAATTTCTAAGCTTCTATGTGCTATGCAGAGTCAAAAAACAAAATAGCTGCACCCAAAAAGTTCTCAAAGAAACTAAAGACCGCCAGATTGGCAAAGATGCTTTCAGAAAAAAGTGGTCCGTCCACCCCTTCGAGTATGCCTGTCATATGCGGTGTTGAACTTGTCGACTAGCTCGTTCATTGTACTGAGAAAACAAAAATAAAATCTCGTTACAATATCACAATAAGCTATGAAATAACAATTAAAATTTCATATTCAACTAATGCATTGCTTATGGTAACAATGAAAAGGTGATAAAAAGTCATTCAACTACTGTAGTCCCTCAATGCGAATATCAACACAATATACACCTGCTCTGAGTGCAAACTTGGTAAGTGCATTAGTATGACTGTGATCGTAGATTCGAACCTTATTTGTATGCTAAACCCTATGACAACTCCCATTGAATAAACAATATTCCAGGTGTAAGTACACAATTTCATACCTAGCATCAAAATGGTTTGACATAGAATAGTTTACGTTGACACTATACTGTTTATCTTCTATTTTGTTAAAATAGCTCTTACAGGATTCTATTGTAATAGAATGATCGACATTGAAAAGTTCAGTTCAGTTCATACCTTGAGCAGTTGGTAAGCACAGCTAAAGATGTAATCAATAATGTGTCATTGTATTCCTACAAAAAGAAAAAAAGAATAAACGAAGGAGTGAGCAACAGAGCAGTAATGGGATAAAGATGTCAGCTTATCTGCAGCCAGTATCTGCAATCAGACATCACATGTACATACTGAAAATAAATCATCTTGAAACAAGCAACACTCACCATCAAGAAATCATCTTGAAATTTCCCCGATTCAATGGCAGGCAACCTCCTCAGAAGACTTGATACTTGCCTTAGCAGAGAATTCTCACAGGGTATATCACCTGCATACAAGGAAACAAGAGCAATTATTACAAATTTTTGTTTTTATTAGTTCTGGGGTATAAGACTCGTTTAGGCATCTGACTCAGTTTAAAGAGGGGTTAAATTATGTTTTTGGGGCTTTTCTTATCTGTTTTTTTTTCCTTCGAAGTTCTGGGGGTTGATTGTATCCTTCACCTTTGCTTCTTTATGAAAACTAATGTAATCACATAGTGATATCTATGTTAATAATGAATCCATCATCTTCTACTAAAAGCATGTACACACCTTTCTGCATAGCTAGAAGATAGTGATGAAGCACTCTAATTCTGCTATTTAGCATCTTGATGGCACTGTGAATTCCTGTAAGATGAGCAGCCACTGCACAAAATCCACAGACCAGGTTCTAATCAGAAATAGATGAAACACATACCTCCACACAATTACAGAGAATGAGAGAGAGAGAGAGAGAGTTCACATTGAGTTGCTGCTGAACCTCCATCAGATGGTTTAAGATGAGCGACATGATCCACTGAGATACGTTCAGCTTCTACCGTCTTTGAAACACAAAAAAATAAAAAATAAAATGTATTAGTAACCCTGCTTGCTAATAGTTAATAACATTTAAGGTAGATAAGAATGAATAAGTCTAACCTCAATTGTGTAACTTGAACTGACAAAAATCAGCTGTGGAATCCCATCGATGACATGCAGCTCTAGAATTGTAATGTTAACACCACAAAACCAAAAAAAAGTTAAGACAGTGAACATATAAACAGAAACTATATGAAGCAAGCAATCTGTTCAAATCACATAAATTCTCATAAGAATGAACTCTAGAATATTTGGGGGGAGAAAAGAAAAAGAACTTCCAATACCCTTCATTTACAAAAGGGGAAAAGGGGAGAGACCCTAACGAATTATACTAGTAAAAAAATCACAAAATTCAGCACATGGATTTCACTTGGGACCATGACTTTAACAGAACTAATGAGAATTAAAGGAACTATTAATTATTAAACAAACAAAAAAAAAAAAAAAAATCCTATATAACATTGAGAAAGGAGAGCCCAAAATTGATAAAATTGTAGCAGCACATCATCAATGTGAGGGTTTTTTTATATACAGAAATTCTAAACATGCCAAGACGCAAAGAACAGCCCACTTATTACAAAACGACCAAGCCTGAACAACAACGAAGTTTAATGGGCAACCTTATCTTAAAGAGTATCTAAAAAGAAATGGCACTGGCACTATAGTACTTTAGTTGCCATAGTTTCTCAAGCATTGCTGCTTAGGCAGCACAAAAAATGGATGATTCCAATACAGTACCTCAATCAAACAAACAACAACCAACCAGTGTAAACAGAAATAAGTGATCCATGCTAGTATATAGGAAGAAGAATGAACTGCATGTATACTACAGGAAGATAACACGTGCAAACTCACACATCAGCTATGGATAATGACACAGTGACACAAGATATCATAGGTAATTCAAAAAATGGGGGAAAATCCTAGGTGTACAACTAATTGGCAATGCTCACAAAAGCTCATATACATAGTTAGATAACAATGCAGCTGACATACCACTTTCGTAAATAGTGATTGGGAGATCCTTTTGGGCAGGGTTGATCAAAGGGTTGAGGAGAACATAAACAGGGCTTTCATTGATATCCATCAACTGTGACAAAGTAAACACGCAGCATTATTATCAATGCGGAAATAAAATGCATCTTAATCATCATAACTAAAAAGAAACATGCATCCAGACAGCATTGGTCACTCGCACAAAGCTCTAGTGTGCAATTACTTGAAACTTTGGCAACAGAATTTCAAATTCAAGAAGGAACCCTTGATGGGTTCATAGTTGACGTGATTAGGTCTTTGAAACTGTCACATAATATAGTGTTTAGGGATTCCAAAAGGTAAAAGTTGCACATAAGCATATGCAATGAGAAAGGTGATGAAAATTACAGCTTTGTGGATGTTCATATCAGATTCCTGAGCATCAGTACCCGTAGAGTACCATCCCAGTATGTAAAAGTGCGGGAACACCTTCTTATCTGACAAAAGAAAGAAAAAGATTATTGGGTTAGCGCAAACATTCATTGAAACCCTAAAACTATCACACAAAAATAAATGAAAACTCATTAAGGAACGAGAACGTAACAGAGCTCTTGCTTCTTCTCGAGGAAGGCGCGGTCGAGGGAGTGAGTTGCAGGATCATAAAGGAGCTCGAAGCTGTTAAAGATCTCGACTGTGCGGCCCCTCTGAACCCCAATAACGCAGCCGAAGACCCTCGGAGACGAGGCCAAGGCAGAGGAAGAAGAAGAAGAAGGCGCTGTTTCTACTGCTCCTTCGGCGCCATTGTTGGGTGGTGGCGTTGTTGTTGTTGTCGCTGTGTTGGTGATGGGCGGGTGCATCTGAGACTTAACCCTAGAATAGTGATCCGATATGTTCACGATCACCAGAGGGTGAAGCTTGAACGTCAGCCCGCTGCTCGACGACTCTGCCATTCTCCCGATTTCCGATTTGGGGATTTTTGGCTCTTCGTTTTGCTTCTTTTGCTCTTTTGCTTCGTTTTTCTCTAGTGTTTTTTTACTGTTTTATTCTTCCAATTTCCGAGTTGCTAACTCAGACTCGCTCAGTTCGTTTCAGGGGTTGGGCCTCAGCCCGTGTTTTGGAACGATTCAATGCAATCTGGCCCAGCCCAAAAATAGAAGGCCACGAATTCTTCTAGGCCCACAACATAATAAACTCCTACATCCCCTTCCTTACATAAAAATAAAAATAAAAATAAATGATAGAAACCACTCTTCTGATATCCCTTCCTTACTAAAAGGAAAAAGAAAAAAAAAGGCCACTATGCACTCAACTATATGTAACTTAAGGGTAACATAAGATTTATGTGCTTAAATTTTATACATCGTAATTACATACAGAAAAATTACTTACGCGCATGTAAGACTGACCATAACACAACTCATAAAACATACAAATCACTCTTTCAATCTTACTCAATTTTATGGTATAAAATGATGGATCTTTTTTAAGTTCTACTTCAAATAATTGTTCACAATTTTTTAAGACTGAGTCTTCATAATGGCCTTGATAAATCAAGTTGAATGATTTAAACTTTAGAGCAAAATGTAACTTCAATAGTTACGAGCAGTTACTTATTAACACGAGGTTCAAATTCTCACTCTCTCAATTTGCAAGTAAAAAAAATTGAAATTTACTAGAGTTTTATTGTTTTTTTTTGGACGAAATCTGGAGTTTTATTGTTAAAAACAAAATTCTACCCAACTATAGATAGAGAGGTCATGGACAAAGGCAAGTTGTGTATTTTCGCCCACGTCAGCAGCGTCACACGACCCAACGAGGAAGATGAACCAAAATAATAATAAGAATAATAAAGGAAAAAAGGACAATTGAAATTCATTGATAACTTTGGCAGGCGAAGACAACCGAGAGGAACTGGAAGCCATCAAAAGCTGTTATCCCCAAAAGATTAATCTCTACATATTCTCAATTCCCAACCCAACCAACCGACTTAAATTTATTCATTTTTATTTTACATATTTACATATTAAAAAAAAAAGAAAAAAAAAAAAAAAAAAAAAAAAGTGGTGGTGGTGGTTGTTGTATAATTCTGTTGTGGATTGAAGAGGAAGAAGAAGAAGAAGAAGACCACCATCGACCATGGCGATGCGCGAGCTTGTGACTGGCGGTGCAGCTTGTGCGGTTCCAGGATCATCTTCTTCCGCCAATCCTTTCGGTGCTCTCGCCAACGCTCTTATCGGCTCTTCTTCCAAGACACAGGTTCGTCGTCTCCCTCTTCGCTCTTTTCAATTTCAGTTTCTCTTCTTCGTTTTGAATTTTCGATCCTCAATTTCATCATCAGTGGCTTCTACGGCGTCGTTTTCTCATGCTTCTGTACAATTCACGCGCAGGAAAGGTTGAAGGAGATACCTCAATCCACGCCCACAGCTTCTGAGCCGCAGTTTTATCCGGACGCCCATGGCCACCTGCAGCAACTCCCTGGCTCGGAGTTTGACCAGCCGTTTATGCAACCTGGCACTCAGGTACTGGAAATCGAAGCTCTAATCTTTTTTCACTGCCTTCTCTTCTAGTCTTGTACTTAATTTGCGTTGTCGTTTTGTTCAGAGCTCGGACTTTCTTCGAAACTTCAACTCTGTTGACGGCAATAGACTACTTGACAATGCGTGGGATGAGATACAGAGTTCTCAACCTCCGCCTATGCATGTTCCTCAACTTGACCGCATTTATGATATTGGAGCTGCTCCTCAGCTTCAACCGACTTTGGATGGTAAATCTCTCAAATTTTTTGTTTTTATACTATTTGTTTCCTACATGTTATTAATTGCTTGCCAACGCTAGAGCTTAGTAACATTAGAGAATATATAAATCACAAGATGCTTGTTCAAGAAAGGAGAATTGGGTTCTGTTTACCAACATTAAAGATTAGTAGAGTTGCTTGAGGAAGAGTGTTTGGCAGAAGATCAAGAGACAAAAGCTGGCATTTAGAAATGAAAAGAGAACAGAGTATGGGATACTTTTGAAGGTTTGGATGTCAGAGCTACGTTATGATATTTCTTGAAGGGCTCAACTTTGAAGTAAGGAAGAAGCTTGAAAAGTTTAGTTAAACTTTCTTAATTGCCAGTTAATGTGTGAAACAGTTGTTTGGCCCAAGTGAGTCCAGGAAGCGATCATTATACATTTAAGAATCTTAGCGATGCATTATTGAGATTTTATAGTTCATGGTGGAAAGAGAAATGATCTTTTGTTATTTCTATTATCAGATGAGTTATAAGTTGTGTATCCTCTTCCAGCTTCATGGTAGTATTTTATAATAAGGCAAAAGGTCTGCTTGAAGCTTCTTGCTTTGTGCACTAATGCCTCAATCTTGCTGGCCATATGCACCTTTTGAGCCTATCCTCCTACGCGTTTAGGTTGAATACTACAATATGATGCCAAACCGCCTCATATTTTCCATGTTAATAGGGACTACCTAAGCGCTCCAGGTCACCCAAAGAAGAGTTCACTTGTCAGTGTGTATGTCCACTCAAAAGTAGGGTTATGGATGAGAGAGGGAGTATTGATCACAACATTCTGAGATCAAGCAGAATTTCTGGACATAGAAAGCAGCTTGTTTATCTTTTTCCTGGTGTTTATGGACTTAATGGAGCAATAGGACATTTTGAAAGTGGTAAATATGGCATATGGACCACACAAAAAACAACTATTTTCCCCCAAAACGCTAACAGGTAGATTGAAAAAAAAAGAAAAAGGAATTTAACATGTAGAAATTTCTTTCTTTTATATTCAATTGCACGAGGGTCTCTTTCTGATCAAATAACCAGGAGCAGTATCTATCTTCAGCTTAAAGGATTGAAGATTACTTTTGAGATTTATCTCCCTTCTAATTGTGTGTTTCAGGGCCACCACAAAGGGTGTTGTCAAGCTTTTTGCACTCATTTGTTGAAAGTAGCCGTGGTGGAATGCCTTTCCGTCCAGCTCCACTTCCAGTGTTAGGATTGTCCGCTGGTGACAAACGGTGCATACGTGATCGCACCAGCATCATGGCCCGACATTTTTTTGCAGATAAAAGTGAAGATTTTATTAATGGGCAGGTTTGGAACTTTATTTCTCTTACCTCAATTGTATCGTATCCTTCAAAAGTTCTTCGGTTGCTTTATTTGCTCCAATTCTGAATATTCCTTCATGGAGTAAGCTAAGTAGGGACGAACACCATTGTCAACAGTTCAGGCGTTCACAAGTTGAGATTTGACTGAACATTTTATCATTATCCCTCTAATTTTCTCTTATTTTCTTTACTGCGATTTGCATACATATTTAGAATTTCTCAGCTAGAAATTTAAATTTATTTATTTTCTAGTAAAATATGTCATTTTGGTTTGCTCTATGAGCATCCTAGAGTAAATTTTTTTCCGGATCGTTGTCATTTCTTGCATGTCTTCGGATCTGTATCAGCAATTTGTTTGTTGAGTTGTTCATGTTAAAGATGCCTTGTCCTGTTCTCTGCAAGACATTTTCTCGACAGTTTCAGTTGATTTAGTACTTTTTACTTTTCCAGGTAAATGCACTTCTATCTTCTTTAGATATCGAGAGTGATGTCAACAGTAAAGGACCTCTGCCTGCAAGGTTTCGGGAACTGGAGGATTATTGGAATGAATCCCAAGCTATAATGAAACCTGGTGCTCACGCTACAGAAGGATGGGTGACTGAATTTAACCAACACAGAGTAGATCATGGTGATCCTAATGCGTGGGCTCACTCATTTGAGCGACAACATGGTGCCAATGGTTGGGCCTCTGAATTTGAGCAGGTAAAGGAGTATTGTAGTTGGTATTTCAATCACATCCATCAATTCTAGACTTATGTGCTATTGGTCAACCATTGACCTTTGTAATGTATTGCAGAACAACAGTTGCAAGTAGTTCTTGCGATCATAGTTTTGTTGTATTTGAACTAAAGACATCTGTAAATGTGTGGATGAGGTTAAATTGGTGGTAGAATAATTGGCTTTTTTAGGGTAAGTTGCAATTTTCTTCAGCTATAGATGTCGCTTGGATTTGGGATTTGTAGGCAGTGAATATTTATAGTTTTGGGAATCCTGGAAGCAGGGGCTTGTTGATGGTGAAGACAAAAGAGCCTTACAGATGTTTTTTGAGGTTTGGAACAAGTGATAAATGGTGGAGTATGCTTGAAATATAAATTTAAAAAAATGAAAAAGCAGAAGAGATATCCAAGGTTTGACACCTTAATTAAGCAAGGCTTATCACCTTAGTTTAGGTTCCATCACATTATTGTTCATGTGCTCACCTTGAACTGAAAGAGTAAGACAATGTGTATATGTTGCTTGATACTCCTAGTTGTAATAGGATTTGGACTCTGAAGTTAGAATCAAGTTAAATGGATATAGCTAAAATGATAGATATTTACCTCGTTCTCCTGGTTACAGGAACAGTCCCAGTTGATGTCTGCAGATCATATGAGAGGTGCAAATATGGCAAACTTAGCTGCAATGGAGCAGACTCGTATGCTTGCAAATACACTAGCTCAGAATGATGACCCAAAGTTTCAGGTTTATACAAATTCTCCATGTGTGTGCATGCACCTCCTTGGTTTCCAAATAAATTTTGAACTTTTTTAGTGTTATGAATAATGCATCAACAAATGAACTTTGGAATGAATGATACTCTTTCCAACAATGCTAATGCACACCTTGTAATTGACTTATCTTTTTTCAGCTAAACCAATTGAACCACAATAGTCGCATAATCTGTTATGGAAGCACTTCATATTCTATAGGGTCAATTGGTTTCAGAAATTAGCAGGTTACTGATCTCCAAATTATGCTTTACGGAAGAGCAAATGACAAGTATTGTTTGAAATTCATCATTTTGAGACTAATTTTGGAATTCCCAAAAAATGATTCATCGCTTAAAGTCTCATAAAAATCTCAAGAAATGCTCCAACTTTCTTTTTTTTTTTTTTTTTTTTTTTTTCATTTCACATGTCCTTGAGAAGTCCATCTCTCAGTTTTTGTTAGCAGACATGAATTAATCCCTGATGTCTGGCCAACAAATAGCTTGGGGGCGGTTAATTAACATGACATTTAGTCAGGACGTTGGTCATAAACAAATGCTGGGCCCAATCACATGTAATTTGTCATAGGGAATCTGTATTGCATTAATAATTGCTTCACATCGCATACTTGTCTTTTTAGAATCATCATCATCATCATCATCATTGTTCATATGTTTACCTTTTGGGGCATGCAGAAGTCGAGGTTTCTCCAGTTTGTGTCAAAGATGAGTCGTGGTGAACTCATTATCGATGATAATCAAGTCAAGCCTGCCACATCATCTGCATCTGGGGATTGGGCAGGGGAATATCAACAACAGTATAATGCGGGTCCTAATTGGGCTGACGAATATGCCCGTGGTGAGGTAGGAATCTGGTCTGATCATGAAATATTATTTCACTTGTTTTGTATTTCCCTTCAGTTTCTGAATTATACCCACCCATATTCGAAGAACATTTCCTATGTATTTAAGCGTTTCTATCAAAATACTTGTTCTCCTGAGAGTTGCAGGGTGTGGGGTGTGGGGGTGAGCTGTTCATGGTTCTGATTTATGAAGGGAATGAAGGGCTGAGTTTGTTTCTGGCATGACTTATGGTATTGGCTGACACATGAAAGAAACTTGAACATACAAAAACTAGTTTAATTGAATTGGTAATAATATTTCAAATGCTATTAAATTTTTTCACAGAGCCCTTATAAATGAAGATGCTTCTATATCTTGGAGCGATCAACTAATCATTTGTTTTGAAACATAAAAATACGTAAAGATTTACAAAAGAAATAAAACAAAATATCTTATTTTAATGCAACAAGGCTAGCAATTCATACTTGAAGGCAAATGAAACTATACCTTTGGCAGCAAAGCTGCAATCTGTGGCATGGGATGTCAACAAAGATATTAACTCTCTGTTGAGATGGGCTTTGTGTCCATGTGTTACCTTTTTCTTTCCAGTACCATATTTTTTTTGGGCAATTTGTTGTAAAAAAATTGAGACTAATATTGATTTACAAGAACCTCCTGTTCAAACGTACCAAACTCATATATAAGTGCATATTTTTAATACCTTGAACTGTTATGCAATGAGGTTACATCCAGTTCCAATTTATGCTGCCTAATTTTAATGGGTTTCCAGCTATCTCATGGACCCAATCAATGGGCAAATGAGTTTGCTTCTGAACAAGAGCAGCATGGGTCAGTTGATGATCAGTGGGTCAATCAGTTCTCTAAGTTGCACGTTGATGACTGGGCAGAGGAATTTGGAAATCAGGTTGGTGAAGGAATCTTGGGGGATACTTCAGCTGATACCTGGGCTAATGCATATGATGAGTAAGTCAAATCAATCTTCTTTGAGAGAATTGTTGTGCTACTTTGTTTACTCTATACTCTACTTTGAAGAGGTTAGTATGGCATATTCAAGGTGTTTGTTTATTGATGTCTAATCCAATGGTTAATGAATTTGTGGCATAGATTTGTAAGGTTAAAGCCACTGTAACTTCTTAAGTTTTCAGTTATATCAATTAAGTGAGTCATGCTTTTCTGTTGGTGATTTTGGCCTTTAGATTGACACCTAGGGCTTATACGCATAGAGCTGATGGCTCACATTATGAGGAATCAAGTGATAAATTGTTCTTAAATTGGTACACATTATAATCTTTTTAATTCCTGCATACCAGGCAGGTGCTTGCTCCTTAGCTGGAGAGAATTTCACTGTTCATTATGCACATGTCACTCAACATTCTTTGTTAATATGCTTTTGTTGAAAAAGGGGAAAGTTGAGTGATGAAGAGTGTACTGTGCAGTTCATGAGCATGGGTTGTGTGAGAATTTTTGTTTAGTTTTAAAATGTTATATAGTTTTGCCATGTTGGTTTGCGGTGTGTGCTTTCCCCTTATGATATTTATTATTTTCTTGCTTCAAGAAACTGAATTTCCATAATCGTCAAGCAGGTACCTAAATGAGCAAGTAGCTTCTAAACAACATTCTGATGCTTCAAGGGGGGTCTATGTGTTTTCTGATATGAATCCTTATGTCGGTCACCCAAACCCACTAAAAGAAGGCCAGGACATGTTCCACAAGGGTCTTTTGAGTGAAGCAGTGCTTGCTTTAGAAGCTGAAGTTCTCAAGAACCCTGAAAATGCTGAAGGTTGGAGGCTACTTGGAATAGCACATGCAGAAAATGATGATGATCAACAGGTAATCCTATTTTCTTGATATTTAGTGTTTACAAATTGTATATTTTCAGCATACTTCCTATAACACAACTATGTATACTACTATATTAACTCCTTATAATATGTCCATTAGTTTTGCAAATTTCATACAGTGCTTCAGCTCAAAGCATCTTTTTCTTTCACCCTGTGTCATACATATGAGTTTACTTCATAGAATGACAACTGTTCTGAACTATAACCTTTGCAGGCCATTGCAGCTATGATGCGTGCACAGGAGGCTGATCCAACAAATCTCGAAGTGCTTCTTGCTCTTGGAGTGAGTCATACAAATGGTAAGTTGTTCCTTCTCCATGTATATAAGTAAAGTAAAAGAACTTCGTTTGAGTAATCATTAGTTGAAAGTTATTTAAGGAATTAATCATTGTATTGAGTCAATGACGCCCCTGCAGCACATAGTTTGTGTGAATAAATGTGGTTTTTTCCTTTAGAAACAAAAACTCTGGGAAGCGGAGAAATATGCTTCTCTAGAGTTCTTAGAAACTAATAAGACTCTTCAAATATGCAGAATTGGAGCAGGCTGCTGCTTTAAAGTATCTATATGGATGGCTACGCCATCACCAAAAGTATGGGGTGCTTGCCCGACCAGAGCTGTCGGATTCTTTGTACTATGCTGATGTAAGTGTTTGGATTTAGAATTGTCATGTTTTTAGGTTCCCTAGGTTGAAATTCATACTCTTTTGACTTTTGAATATCTTATTTATATAGTTACTTCAGTGGATCTGGTCATTTTTTAATCTATAAGCAAGTAGTGACGAGAAATGGAACCATGTGCATTGAGAGTGTACTCTCCTCTCTGTATACTAAGATTCTGCTGTCAGCATTCATTTGTACACCTACAAAATTATCTAATAGACTATTCTGGTAGAAAAAGTTTCCTGGTCAACTTAACAAATTATTCAGTTTTAATATGTAACACAAGTATAGAAGGAAGGACTAGTGAGTGGGTAGGGACCCATAATGTTCAATAGGGACAAAGGGCACAGACAAATTTGGCATACATGCAAAAGATGAGTTCCATTTGGACCTTCACGGTGCCCAAAATTCCCAAGAATGTTGGGGCTGCACTCTCCATTCCAAATTTTGGATGTGGTCTGTTGCACTATAAAGTGGGGCTTGAAGACATTGCAGTTCAAATCATTAGTTAAGTCTCGGTGACCATTATACTACATATGGTTTAAGAACATAATTTTCTGGAACTTTTGTTCCCAAAATTGGTTTTTTGACTGTATTAGATTTCTGTTACTCAGTCCACTTGCTTGCTACTCGATAAGATAGGGTATGAATAAACTTTATTTGTAATCTGCAGGTTGCTAGATTATTCAATGAAGCTGCTCAAATGTCACCTGAAGATGCTGATGTGCATATAGTACTTGGTGTCCTTTACAACTTGTCAAGAGAATATGACAAAGCCATTGAGTCCTTCCGATTAGCTTTGAAACTAAAGCCGCAAGATTACTCTCTTTGGAACAAGCTTGGAGCAACACAGGCAAACAGTGTTCAGAGTGCTGATGCGATATTGGCTTATCAACAGGTAATTTGTGTAATCAACCCTCATATACTCGTACGGAATCTTTAGGGAGAAAATAATCATTGCATTCCGAATGTAGAACGAAATAGTAACCTTAGTCGCTATAGCATATAAAAAACTGTCTGCAATTTATAATATTTGAACTAAACTTTTGTTAGCAATTGTTAAGGGAAAATGGTCATTCAGATGCTGCTTGAACAAGTTGGCTTTCCAACATTGTGCAAAGATGTAGCGTACAATTTCCCTGCAGCCCTTCTTATGTTTGACTGATAAGCATTTGTAAACAAGACTTAGTATTTTGTAAAATTATAAGCATTCTGGATTGGAGTAGTTTGTTTGATGGCTTGTAGAGAATTCACTAATAACATAGCAGAAACCTGCTAATTTTTAACCCACATGCTTGATCTGTCTTATTGTCATGCCTCAGACAAGAAAGTAACTGTACTTTTTCTTTCTTAATTTACAAAATAAACAATTCCATGATTTAAGATTTTTTATTTATAATTATTACTTGTGTATTTTTAGTGCATCAATTGGGAATCATGTGTGGGTTGTAATTCAAAGATGGATCTTAGAGCTTGGGTTTACCACTGGGTTTCAGTGCCTTTCAATAGATTGCTCTTTATAGATTACACTGTATTCTTTAATTGAATTAACAATTCTAATTAATATACTCTGCGTATCTGTAATTGGCTTTCTTGAAAACTTTATATTATCAACTTAGAACTAACTTTTGGTTTTATCTCCCGGAGTACAGGCACTAGATTTGAAGCCTAATTATGTTCGTGCGTGGGCAAATATGGGTATCAGTTATGCCAACCAGGTTAGTTCTTATGGTTGACTCTTTATCACTTTGAAATTTTAGATGGGAACTGAATTTATTATTCCTACTTTGTTTTGGGTTTCTTGTATAACTGGCTGTGAAAATTCTTGTAGAAATGGATTCTTTCTCATTTGTACTTTAGACTACAGGAGCCCAACAAACCTTGAGCTATGTTAGTACGGAGAGATCCATTTAGAATGACTTGTGTACAATGTTTGGTTTGAAACTTTGATGTTTACTACAATGGAAAAGGAAGTGAGATTCTGAGAATAAGTAAAAAGCAAGTGGTTATACTATATAGACGCACAACCAAAGGAATATATAGGAGAGAGAAAAAGAAGAATGAGAAGGACGGGGAGAGACAAGGTGAATTTATGTCTACTCCCAATCAATATGGCAAAACTGAAAATCCAATTACACTATTAACTATTTATGTAGCAGTCCAGAAATAATAAAACTACACAATTACCTAACAATAGCGACTAATTAGATCCTTGGGATTCTAATAATAAAATATCATTAAAACATATCCAAACTCCAAGTCTGTCCCTAAAATATGTGTAGGTCCCTTTCCTCTATCCTACTTGAAACCTGTACGACTAGTTTCCCAACAAACTCAAAAGCCTGAAATATTTTCTTCGAGGTAATTGCATTTAGTAGAGCTACAAGTGCATAATTCTTACTGTTCACGTGGGTATTAATTTCAACTATTTATGGCTTGTTATTTAATTTCTGCTATAAGTGATCAAAGTTTCCCAAATATCTTGGGATTTACAGCATTTGTCTAACCAATTAACTTTCTTCCCTATTGTGAATGCATCTAGGGTATGTATGAGGATTCCATTCGTTACTATGTCCGAGCACTTACCATGAATCCGAAGGCAGATAACGGTTGGCAATATTTGAGAATTTCTTTGAGGTATGTTAATATAAAAGTTCAAAAAAATATATATATATTGAAGTCGCTCTTCGCAATGTTCCTTTTAAATATCTTGTTTTCTTGCCTTTGTTGCAGCTGTGCTTCTAGGAATGACATGTTGGAAGCCTGCGATTCTCGGAATCTAGATGTTCTGCAGAAGGAGTTTCCTTTATAATGTTTATAGTTCTTTTGAATTGGTGGATGAGAATAACTGGGTCCATCACTGAATTGAGAACCGAAATATGCAGAGGCTCCTAATGAAGAACACGGGTTCACACTTATGGTTCATCCTGTGCCGGTTTTGGTAAAAATTATCCGAGAGTCGGAAGAGTAAGTGGGGCAATAAGAACTCATCCAAATGAAATAAGTTCAAGTACTTCAAAAAACAATACGTCAATGTGTAACGTTTCTTATGTATAACACAGCAAAGCATAGTTATAGTTTACAATGAGAAAGGGCATAATGGGGGTGGGCCTTGTTTATAGCTGCTGTAGTTATTTTGGCTATAATGTTATAGCTGATGAACTTAAAACAGATGATTTGTCAATTCTTAGAAGAAATTTCAGGTATAAAAGTTGAGATTACCCATTACTTTAAAAGAACATAAAAAATAGCTTTGTATCTAAATGAGAAGAGAAACTTACTTACACCGGGGTGTGGAAGTTCTTCCTAAATTTGTTTTAACTTATGCACATAATAGTGCGTGATTAGCTTGAAATACTGCTATTGTGGCATCCCCATTGTATGAAAGTTCTTCCTAAATGAACTACAGAGCAATCAAGAATTGAAAGGGTTATTTTGTCCACAAGTTCCCAAAGATTCCTTTAGCATCATAATAAGAAGTGGGAACTAATGATTGTAGAAAATTTGTAAATCCCAAAATGCTAAGGTAACTTTTTCGATCTTGTAATCATAAAATAATACATCCCATAATTGTATACTTTGTGATGACTGGTGACGGAGGGAGGGCTAGATAAGGCTTGTAATTATTCTTCACCTACAAGGCTATGCATATAGATAGACTGAACCTGCACACCCATGTCCTAAATGAGAGATGATTTGATATTCACACCCATCCATCCATCCATCCATGATCCAATCCCTTGCGTGTGTGCTGAAACCAAAGCTAAGGCCAGAGTGGTCTCTCTCACTCTAAATCAATCATTTTGTGCTGGATAATGCAGTACCAAAATATATACAAATAAATAAATAAATATATATATGTGTGTATATAACATAATAAATAAAGAAAGAGAAGGAGAAAACCAACCACACACACAGAGAAACATGCACTCAAAGCAAAGCGCAAAGCAGTGTCTCTGCTGCTGCTGCTCTCTTCTCTTTGCTTTAACTTGTTGTGCACGGCCACAATATCCCAACCCTACACTTTGGCATATCCTCTATAGAATTAACCCCACCTACGCCATCCCCATCCCCATCCCCAACCATTAATTATATGCACTCTACCTCTCTACCCTTTAAAATAATTTAGTAGTTCTGGTTGGTTGCAGTAATATTATTATATCTACTTATATATTTCTCACGATTCTGTCGAATCTGTCTGTCCCTCTCCAGCTGATCCTCTCTCTCTCTCTCTCTCTGGGAGAAGAATCAAACACCATTCTTCTCTCTCTCTATATATTAGTTTTTTATGACTTACATGAATATCTTACACAGCTGAGCTTCACAAGTTTTCATTTTGTTTTTTTTTCTTTTGGGATGGAAGAAAGAGAAAGGTTTTAGCGTCACAATCAAAATCAGACTATATACTGAACAAGTAGGTCAATTTCGTATATTTCTAATGCCTGCAAACAGAGATTACTCATCATATACACTGTGATAAAAGAAGGCCTGACATATTTTGTTGGTCTTATTACTAATCCCTACTTGATGACCTATAGCTATAGCCACTACATCAATATCAATCCATCACTATTATCATTTATCTTTTCATTAAAAAGCAACAAAATACAAAATATTAATTCCCTCCCTAGAATCCCCATTCCCTACCCATTACCCAATATAAAAGAAGAAGAAAACAAAAACCAATTGATTACAAAAAAACATAGGGTTGTGCAAACTTGTTTTGGCCGACAGATAAGGATAAGGTAAAAAAATCTCAGGAGTTTACATATTCTGTGAGATATAAGTAAAAGTTTTAGTGTCTCAGAGACTCAGATAGTAACCCACAGCCATACCCTGGAAGCAACTATATATTCAGTGGACAGTGAGGTTGGGGACGATTTGACCTTTTTTTTTTCTTTCCATCAAGTTAATGTGAGATAAAGTAGGTCAATATTATTCCTCGGAAATTGAAAAGCAAAAAAAACAAAACAAAAAAAGTGATGGAGTATGAAAAAGACGAGTAAGAACCGAGGTCAATTTTATCCTCATTTCCGGTAGCTCATCTTTCTCTCTCCGAATCACTTAACGGACACATGCATAGAATTGCTAATAAAACATATGCATAGAATGACAAGTTTATATACAACAACTTCGAGGCAAATACTAGTTACAACATTTTCTTGCACCAAAAAGATAATATTATTTTTCTAGTGCGGTTGTTTAAATAATTATATATATATATTTTTTATTTTTAGCTATAAATTAAACATGAAAACTGGTCGTACTTAATTTTCTCTGTTAATTAACAAACAAAATTAAGTGACAATTTCACTAAAATCCCAGCCAAAAAAAGAGATAAATTATGTTTTATTATTATATGATTTTTTGATGGTCCAAATTAGGAGTTAATTAATGGATCATCTCCGTCTGCCATTGTCATTATTAATCGGCATGTGGAGAGAGAGAGAAAGAGAGAGGCATCAATTCAATTCAGTGCCAAATATATCAAGAGAAGAGGAGAAATGACCAAAAAAAGGTTGGGTTTCGTCCGAATAAACACAACACTACATTGGCCAAAAGGTTACGTCTGAATCAGATGGAAACGAAATGATGGATGGATGTCTATATATCTATCTGTCAATGCCATGTTGCACCAACCCTAGCTAGCCCTGCCCTGATCCCTCACTCATATATGACTCTCAACACGCAAGCCCAACCTAAGGTAAGTAAGCCTTTGCCATATTGCCATGCCTTGTAACCATCTTATCACTCATGTCAGCAAGCAACCAAACACCAAACTAGACTTAGAACCTAGCTAGCCACATATACATATAGAGCTTATATATTGACAAACAATAATTTTGGTACCATATTAATTTTAATTAAGTGGAAGGTCCAGTACATTTAATTTCCCATTGTTTATAACATATAGGAAGAAGCTATATATACAATTATTCTCCTATGCAGATAACCTGATATTATTACCGTGTAGACGTCATTATAAACATGAAGGAAAGCAGGAAGGTGTGATATAAAATACATGGCACTCGCATGATTATAACGTCTGAACATTCGCATAAGAGAAAATCTAGCTATACATATCTGTACATACATGTGTATATATATAAAACAAGGCTAGGGCTAGGGCTAGCTAGCTATCTAGAGGAGATCATATATTGTTATTAAGAGATTAATTAAGTAGTCCTAATTATTAATTAAAGACGAGAGAGAGGACAGGAGAGATCCCTAGCTAGCAGGTGGGTTTAGGGATGTATGGTGGTAGAGGAGGCAAGGGGAGAGCATGAAATGGTCTATTTTGAGAACTTTGATGGTGTTGTTGAGGGGACAGACGGCATAAATTAGGGCAATAAATGGTGCAAAATCAAAAGACAGCCACAGGTATATACGGCTACTTAGTGCTAAAAACAAGAATATATGCTCATTCACTGCATGCCCCCTTTAATCTCTTGGAAAAGCATTCATTGGAGGAAGGGATACAAAGGAATTTTGGGGAACAAGGGAGTGGTTCATTTGCAAACAGCATCCATTATTTTTACTAATTTAAACATTTCCCTTTCTCAGTTTATTAGTTAATTAGAAGAGGAAGTTAAGGTGGCAAGGTGGGAGTGCATGATGGATAAAGTATTTGTCATTTCAACCAAAAGTGAAGCATCTTAATTAATTAATTAATTAATTCAGGTATCTGATTAAGTAGCATATATATATATACAAGGAAGGAGACAAACAGCCCTCTAGAAGAAAATGATGCTTAAAGTACTTCAGATATTGAAACTAATAAATATTTAATCAATAAGATATGCTCCACTTCGCCACTGTCTTTGCCTCCAAAAGGCCGAAGTTTGGTCATACAATTAAATAAAGCGAAGAAAAAACAATAAATAAATCCCAATTGTAAGATGGATTTATATAACACATTAATTCATGAATCAATGATCAATCTCAGTCGATAACAAAAAGAACAAACTGTGATGGTTCAGAAGCTCTCGCTATAGGCTATAGCTTGCTGTGTCTTCATTTCACATGCAAGTTGCAACGTCCAAAGAGAGAGATTCACATTAAATGGTACTTCTACTCTTTGCATGTTTATATGCATATACTGATCATTCATCAGCTTAGTTAGGAGAGAGAGAGAGAGAGAGAGAGAGAGAGTCTTCTCTTTGATTGGAATTTCAGTGGGTTTCTTATCTGGACACCCACTATAATGGCAACTCATATCTTGCTTCTTAAATGCATCCTTTTTTTTCATATATGCCTATATATATAAGAAGATGAAACAAGAAAGAGAGGATAGCTTTAGCTAGCTAGCTAGATATATATATATAGCTTGCAAATTAATTGATCAATTAATTAATTAATCATAATTAGTGCCAAGAAGAAACAGAAAAAAGGGGACGATTCTGCCAACCTAAGAAAAAAGAGTCATTGATTATCCTCAGCTGGTAACCCTCGGAAGGATAATGAAGCCTCAGAAGCAGCTTCGCTTGCGAAAGAGCAAAAGGGCTCAAAGCCACGTTCTCAAACCCTGCCCTCCTCAACATCACCTCCCAATACGTCTCGTACTTTTCGTGCCGTTGCCTTCTCCTCCCCTCCTCCGCCCCCACCACGTCCCTAATCTCCCTCCCCATCCACACATCCTCCACTGCCTGCCTCTCCCTGCTGTTCGGCGGCAGCGTCGCTTCCAACGAGTCGAAAATGGCGCCGTAGTGCTCCAGAGCTTCCACGAACCGGTTGAAGAAGAGAGGGTGGTTGTGGTTGGCCTCTTTGTTGGCGATCGTCAACACCTTTGGGTTTAATGACTTGATCTTCCGG